AGATCAAATGTGAAACCTGCTCAATTTTCAGCTGCACTAAGGGATAATGGGAATCAAAGTACAGTGCTATCCAAATATTAAATGGTATTATTCTCATTTAAATGTGGGCCAAATTTATTTGTAAACTTTCATTTTGGAAGCCACAGAGAACCAGATTGGATAAGTGGTTAACTTATCCGATGAAAAACTGAGCATCAGTGGAAGAGCTTCATATTAGGCTAATAATTACATGCTGGCTTCATATTCACTGTTTTTCTGACTTTACCCCCCAGACATTATTTTGTTTCTCTCAGCCTGCAGGGTGCTGCAGGCTAGCTTGCGAAGATCTTACTCTGCCAGACAGCCCAGGGCCTGAGCCAGCCGTAGTGTGGACTTGTTATGGAAGAGCCAGAAATTCAGGGCTGATGTTTGAGTCCAGGAGTTTGTCAGTTCCAAACAGCATGGTTTTCCCCAGGCTCCAAAACGCAGTGTCTGTATTTTTTATTGGGGGGTATGGATAGATAAGCCTTTGTGGCCAGGCAGTGATTCATTCTCTACCACTCTTCAAACTAGCTATAGCCCATGAGTGACCCACTGCACAGCGGAATCTGTGAGTTATTAATACACGTCTCACTGTTGCGTTCTTTTTCCCCAGACTTACGTTTCAACCTCGTAATGTACAAATTGATTATGATTTGACCAGAAAATTTGGCTTCAGGCATGCTTGGAGTATCTGGTGCTCTTGTATTTTTTAAATTTATTTTTATATTTTTACAAATAGACTCTTGACCCTGTCACGTTTTATCTGCAAACATAATTTATGTACTTTCATCAGTGCGGCCAGTAAGTTTGCGCAGCTCCAGTGCCTGTGGAAGACGAGGGACTCGGGAGCCGTGAGCGCGCTGACCTGGAGCCTCTCCGCCTACACCTGCGCAGGTGAGGGCCTGGCGCCAGTGTGTCTCCAGCGCCAGGTGTCTCCCTGGCAGTTGCTACCTTGGCTCTGAAGTGCCATGGTCCTGGCTCCCCAGGCAGAACCTCCCAGCTGAGTGTATCCATATTTACAGGGGGATTTAAGCAGACTGCCCTCCATTTTCTGCAAGATCCATATTCCAGATGCCAAAAAAACAAACAAAAAAAGTGAAAGCAAAAATCAGGCTTAATAACAGTCCTGTCGATTATATTGAATCTACTAACTTATTTTAAATATTTGAACCTTTCTGATGTAACATATTAAAAAGATGAAAATCATACATTGGCTTTTAAGAATGAATACAGTTTGTAGCAGTGGAGGGATTTCCCGCAGCCACATTGTTTGGTCTTAACTTTAGAATTTCCACTGTTTGTTTGTGTTCTCGCAAGAGCTGCCTAAAACACATGCATACTACATATAGGCAGAAACATTTAAAAAATGCAGAGCTAGCATATTAATTGGATTTACTAGTTTTAGATATCTTACTGTCTCATGATTCTTCTGCATTTTAAAAGATCTATTTCTCTATCCATGGTTGGTGGTTGGGGTCTTTCTGTCCAAGGTTATTTAACATGAATACTTGTTGAGTTTTATTTTTAGCTTTAAAATGTTAAAGTTTTTATATACACACACACCACACATTTTCTTTATCCATTCACCTGTTGATGGACACTTGCGTTGATTCCACGTCTTGGCTATTGTGAACTGTGCCGAGTAAACATGGGTGCGCAGCTACCTCTTCCAGACACTGATTCCATTTGCTTTGGATGTGTATACCCACTAGTGGGATTTCTGGATCACATGGCAGTTCTATTGTTAATTTTTGGAGGAATCTCCGTACTGTTCTCCGTCGTGGCTGTACTGATGCACATTGCCCAACAGCATGCAAGGCTTCCCTTTTCCCACACCCTCTCCCACATTCATCTTTCATCTTTGTGACGGCAGCCATTCTGACAGCTGTGAGGTGTGTCTTATTGTGGTTTTGATTTGCACTTCTCTGATGACTAGTGATGTGGAGCATTTTTTCATATACTTGTTGGCCATTTGTATGTCTTCTTTGAGAAATGTCTATTTAGATCTTTTGCCCATTTTTAGATCAGGTCATTTGTTTTTCTTTTTTCTCTTATATTTAAGTTAATATGGTATTGGGGTTATTTGTTTTCATGCTATTCAGTTGAGATCCTTCTGTATGTTGGATAATAACCCTTATCAGATATTTGGCTGTTAGGACATGAGAGTCCTTGTCGGCCACCTGCCTAACTGGAGTCTTCTCTCCCTTGACTTAAGATCAATGTCCTTCATTTAAATTGCTGACTTAACACCTGTTTACATGGTGTCTGCACCTAAAGCCTTGGGTCATCCAATTTGGCCACACAAAATTTCAGAGGATTTGATGTCTGCCCTTCAACATATGCTATGTGCGAAACATGTTAGGCAGAGGGAGAGTGTGTGATGGGTCGGTTTTGGGTTAGGAAAAGGCCCACCTTGAGTTGCAGGCGGTGGTGTTTTCTAACTCCCAATTCACGTAGCCTACGAGTGTCAGTTTCAGCTGTTACCCCGATTTCCTGTTTATTTGCTAAATGAAGGGCTATACCAGAAAAATGAATTAAACAGTTCTAGTTAGACTCTTAAGGAAACTGAGGCTCCGAAAAGGGTAAGATTTTCCTATCTATAAAACACAGGGGTAGAATTTAAAACATTGTTTTTTAACTAGTGAGAGCCTTTTTTTAAATAAACCACCCAGAAGCTCATTATGTAAATGAGATTTATTAGAGTTGCTTTTTGAGGGTGGGGGCGTGGCGGGTTGGCGCGCACAGGCCGGGCAGGGGAAGCTCAGCCCCAGCCCTGGCTTCCCCGGGCAGGACCGAAGAACCTTCTGGGAACTGCTGCTTCTCTTATGAGCAGTTTCAAAGCCACTAGGCTAGGACGCATGGCTGGTTTGTACATGTTGTCTGAGAAGCAAGTCATTCATTGCTGCAAATTTTCTTTTACAGCAAGAATAGTCACAACCTTAATGACCACCAATGACTTTACAAGTAAGCAAAATATTTTTCTTCCCACTTCTGGGTTTTGTGCTGTTTGTGCCTTCTTCATTTGGAAAGTGTCTTAGGGTTCGTAGAGGGGCTCCGCTGTAAGGGATGATGGATGTAGAGGACAGCAGCAATGTATTCCTGGTTTTCATGAGTCACATTTTTATTATTAACCATGTACTTGCAGTACATGGGGCAGACTTCGCACTGTGGGTTGCGATAGTGGGTTGTATAGTGGGTCCCTATCTGCGAGGGCCCTTGGCTCCAGCAGCGGGACGGGCACAGGTGTCCGCGGTACCGGCTGTTCCTGCTGTGAGATGAGTTTAGAAAGCCCAGGGCAGGGCGAGCACCTGAGAACCGGACCTGGTCTGAGGCGCTGGGAAGATCACCTTGAAGAAGTGAAGTCTCACAGTGGGTAGAGATTTAGTCCAGGAAAGGGCGGGGGCACTGTGACAAGGAGCAGCGTGTGGCCAGCAGCAGAGAGGACAAAGGCCTGGAGACCCTGAGAGAACTCCGCAGGGCCGGGGCACGGGGGAGGGCGGGGAGCGTGGCGGGGTGAGGCTGGCATGGCCGAGCCGTCCAGAGTCGGCGTCCGGCACCCAAGAGAAGTACCCACAAACGGCAGGAAGGCTCCGAAGGTTTTTAAAGCAGGGGAGTGGTATACTCCCTTGACTGTATGCTCTTGTTCTGTGTTTCTAAAAGAAAAAGCTGTGATGGAGGAGAAAATACTTTGGGTAACTAAAAAAGAATCAGTAATTCCTTAGGCTTTCAACTCCCTAATTGAGCATACTATATATGTCTTTCGAAAATGATTAGAACAGATGGTGTCACCTGTGAAGACTGGAAAATGTCCCCAGCACATGGACCCCTTCCATAAGCGAATTATTATTTAATAGAGAAATACTGCTTCAGAACAGAGATGCATTTGTTGGTCTCTTCCTGGAGGTTGTACTTTTGGCTCCAATACTTTTTGTCAGCTCTGATTGTAGGATTAAGATTGTTCTGGTCAGAGAGTAAACCTTGATTAGTAGGGAATTGGAGAGAAGACAGACCGGGTCTTCTCCCCAGGACCTCAAGAATGCTCAGTTTGGAAAGGAGAGTCAAACCCTAACTAAACAACAACCTACACACTAAAAATTAAGTTTACATGATCAAGAATATTCTAATTCTGATTTCTTATGTGTGACAGCTTTTCCTGAGACTTAGTATATCTGGGGATAACCTTTGAAAAACAGTTTAGCTAATATCTAACATGTGTTAATATCTCCATGTGTTTCAGAAACACAGAGATATCTTAAATCTCATAAACCTTATTTATCAAGAGGGTGATCAGGCCTTAAAGTGGAAGTTAAGTCATTGTTAAGGTTTTGGGGTTTTTAAATTTTTTTTTACAGAGTCACATTTTCGTGGTTACTTCAATATAAAATATGCTCTGACATTTGGGCAAGTTTTTCTGTTAAGAAATGTATAAGAATTGACAGAATGCGTTATACTAGCTTTGCTTAATATGGAAGGTTCTGTGTTACTGGTACTCTTAAGACTTCAAAGGAGTGAAGAGATTTTAAAAAGTTTTACTCCTTTTAGCCAGAGCCAAATGTCTCTAATCTTTTAAGATTTATTTATTCATGAAGTCAGGCCAAATGGCCAAAAGATTTTGATAGAAAGATCATTTCCCCAAAAATACTTGGAACCAGAGTTGTTCGAAGTCTTCATGATCCATAGTTAAGTTTCATTTTAGGGGTGGGGAGTGAAGTTTTATTTAGGATTATACTTTAGAGCAGGAGGTGATTTTGCTCTGCTATGTGAAAAGTTTTTAATACACACTTTTGTTCTTTTTGATTTCAGTTCGTACACGTTTCGTGATCATGCTGGCTTTAAATATATGGGTAACAGCTACAGTACTTCGCTACTGCAAGACCGTTATAAAGGCTGAATGATGGGTTTATTATTCCTGCCCACAAGTGGATTTTTGAATCACTGAACCAAAGGAAAGAAGCTCCTTGCTAAATCAAGGTCTTATATAAATTTAGTCAATCGTGTCAGAATCTTTGAAGCCCAAAGTCTTTTTTAGACTTGAAGGAGCCCAGCCACTTAAATACTTGTTGAAGTGCCAATTTCCTCCATGTATTTTTTAATTTTCAGAATCTTTTAAGAAATAAATCCTTCATGATATTAAAAAAAAAAAAAAAAGAAAAAACAAATCCTCCCCATCAGTGGCAGTGAGTGGAGTGGGATTGTGCTGAAAGTCAGAAGCAGAACTGTATAGATTACTAGGGTTCACTTCCTGGGACTAAAGTTTAATTGTAACATAGACATAACAGGACAGCCTTGTTTGTATGTCATAATACGGTACAACACCTGGTCACGCTCTAGCAAGGACAGCAAAGGAAGCACAAAATATAATCGGCTTGAGTCTGTATACCAAAATAGTCCTTTCACTTACCATTGTGCCTTAAGCAATTCCTAACAAAAGGTATTTACTGTTAGCTGCAATCTCTACTTATGAAGAGGAAATCCTAAGAAAGTTTTTGATTCAAGCACAATGCAGCCTTTAAAAAATGGCCACACCTATGCAGTTACCATTATTGGGACCTGGTATAAAATACCAGGTTTTGTCTATTGAAAATATATAAAGTCTACTGCTAGGTTCTGCCCAATTCTTATAGATTTTATTCTCATTATAGTGTCTTATACTTAACATGTTAGGATTACGTGTGTACTGTATTTTCCTCTTAAATATTAACCCAAACATTTAAAAATCTACTTTCTATCAAGGCACACTGGCTCATGTCTGTATTCCCAGCACTCAGGGAGGTCAACGTGGAGGACCACTTTTTACATTTTTTTTGACTTTTATTTGTAAATGTTTTTTTTTTTTTTTTAATGAACAAAACATCAACATTTTATTTATTTATTTATTTATATTTTGAGACAGAGTCTCGCTTTGTTGCCCAGGCTAGAGTGAGTGCCGTGGTGGCAGCCTAGCTCACAGCAACCTCAAACTCCTGGGCTCAAGCAACCCTTCTGGCTCTGCCTCCAGAGTAGCTGGGACTACAGGAATGTGCCACCATGCCCAGCTAATTTTTTTTCTATATATACTAGTTGGCTAATTAATTTCTTTCTATTTATAGTAGAGACGGGGTCTCAGCTCTTGCTCAGGCTGGTTTCAAACTCCTGACCTTGAGCGATCTGCCCTCCTCTGCCTCCCAGAGTGCTAGGATTACAGTCATGAGCCACCGCGCTAGGCCTACATCAACATTTTAAATAAAGACAGGATCAACACTGCCACCTTACCCAGGACACCTGGAGGCCTGAAACAAAGGAAACATCACTACAGTAATACTGATTCTGCCTAGGAATCCTTAGGACACGGTCACACATTCCTTATTTGCACTCCAGGGTGAAGGGTCCAGTCAGGACTCTTTACCAGGCAGGGGATTGGCCTTCAGAGGCCTAGAAGGGAAGAGAAGGCTCTAGAGAGGAAGAAGTTGCCCCAAGTTATGCAAGTCCAGGAGTGCCTTTCAGAACCAGCCTGAATGAAGCCCACTCCCAAACCACCCCAGGTGCCCCCAGCACTGGGACTCAGGCCACACTGCTGCCCCTGCAGTAACAGACATGCATCCCCTACCCCCACCTCTCACCCCAAGGAAACCCGGCAGGGGTTTGCCGGGTAATGGCCCACTCTAGCCTTCTGCACCAACTGGCATTCAGACCTCCCAGCAAGTCCAAAAGCAAAGGGGTTTCCATTCACTTTCAGAATGAACATTGACTCAGCACCTTCTCATGCCAAGTGTAGGTAGGTGCTAGGTTTTATTTAATGTACAGCAACCCCATGAAGTGAGTTTACTATCTCATTTTTCTAGCCTAGGAAACTGAAACTCCAAGCAGTTAAATAACTCGCAGCTCCAGGGCATTGCAAATATACTTGCTTCTCAAGGAGTTGTCTCAGCTCTGAAACCCGGCTGGCCTCAAACCCAGGACCTGGGAGGTTGGGCTGGAAAGTTCTAATCCTCTTTGGTTCCCACTATGGTCTGTCCATTTCCTTCCTCACAGAGGCTATCTTGGCTCTACCTAGCCACAACTTTCTGGGGCTTAGAAGAGGTGGCATTGCTTAGGCAAGAGGAGTTCGTGAATGAGTACACAGAAATGGGAAAGGGAGAAAGGTTGGTCCTCTCTCCTGGTGGTACCCCTACTAGGAGACAGCTAAGGCACACCTAGAACCTGCTTCCTATCCTAGGGAAGCCCCTGGTCCAGCCCTCCCTAGCTGACTCACTGGACCTGGGACATGAGTCACACTGCCTCCTTCCCCAGCCTGTGGTGACTGAGCCACCAGCCCACCAGGGAAACACAATGACATAAGCCCAACTCAACCACAGAGAAGAGGATGGAGACATAAGGAAGCAGACAGCAATGAACAACTGAGATTGGGGGGAGGAGGCAGGGAAGGGAAGGAATCTCCAGATCCAGGAACTTGCCTTGCTCTATCCAGACAGACACCTCTCCTCCCTTAGGGCTGGAGGCTGACCCTGTCAGCCCTACCCCCTTTTTGTCATGAAGGGCCAGATAATGCCTAAAGTATATGAACCTTAGAAAGCTATTAGACCAGTGTTTGGGTGTAAGTTATTCATAGCCCTATGTAAAATTCCACTGTTAGAAAGTCATTCCTTTAGCTTCAGATAAGAATACTTTGTTTGTTTAGGATACAAACAGTAGAGAAGGGTAAATCATGGAGCCTTATGCACAATGAATAACTAATTCAATGAGTTTATCAGAATCACAGAATCAGAATCTAACCCCTAAAGAGCATCCGATCCAGACAATTTATTTTATAAACAAGGACTCCCAAGGCCCAGAGAAATAAAATGACTTGTCCAAGGTCCGGCAGCCAGTTAGTGGCAAAGCCAGGACCAGAATACAGGTCAACAGAGCTATATATTTCAAGGCTGGCTCCTGGGAAACACAGGGGCACCACTCCCAGCAGCAACCCGCATTGGAGCGTCTAGAGACTTTACAAAATACTTGATTTTTCTGACCATAAGAATAAATTTGTGCTTATTATAGAAAATACCCAAAAGGATAAAACCACCATCCTATCACTCAGACAGATGAGCAGTATTTTTATATGCACATAATTTTTATTAAATTCTACTTAAAAATGTGAACCCTGCCTTTTTTCACTTATCATGGGTAATAAGCATCTTATCAGATTAAAAAGAACTCCAAATCAATCAGTTTTAATGACTGCATAAAATTTCATCATGACTGTGTCATAATGTCTTTAAATCATTGTTATTTAGGCGGTATTTCCTTTTTCATTGTGTAAATAAAGCTATGATAAATATCTCTGTACATAAACATTTTTCCACATCTCTGATTATTTCAATTATATGTCTAAAGTATAATTTTAGGTTAAAGAGCATACATTTTTTAACATTCTTGATACATATCACAAAACCAATGTCTAGAAATGTACACGATGTCCCCACCAGCTGTGTATGGCAATGCTGGTCTCACAGCCTTCAAACACCAGCATCAAGTATAGCATTTTTAGAAACCTTTGCTGATTTTACAGAACCAGCAGAGAACCAGCCCACTTGCATAAGCTCAGTCGGGTTGACCTGGTCTCTGGGCATGGCAGCTGGAGAAAGCTTCCCTGGAAGACTCAGAGTAGGTACCACTCTCAGGGAAGAAGGGTGTGTGGGGTTTGGGGAGCCAGGAGAGCACCCTGGAGGCACTTTAAAGCTTGGGCAGAGGCAAAAAAAAAAAGGGGGAGGAGGAGTGGTAGGAGAGAGGAGCTAGAAGTGCAGGCAGAAAAAGACTAAAGAGAAATTTTACCTAATTCATGGCTTTGCCCATGATCATCCAGGAAATTGCCCAGTCACAGAAGAAATCTGTAAATGTTTTTAAAAGTACAAAATGTTATAATGATACCACAATACAAGAGACACAGCAGGCTTTCTTCTCATCTGCTTGAAGGAAGGTCTTCAGTTGGGTAGAGCACAGCATGAGTGGACTCACGGGTCACGTGGCCTGTTGTCCAGAGATGCTGTTAATTGTTGGTCCTCCCTAGTGTTCTTTACTAATGAGTGCCCAGCGTGTCCACTACCATTTGAATAGCTTGCAGGGAATCTGTCACATCTCCCTTGCTGTCTCTTCTTAAAACCCCATCTAGCTTAAGTCTTCAAACTCTTCTGGTCCTTACAGCTGAGACCAGCCTGAGCAAGAGAGACCCCGTCTCTACTAAAAACAGAATAATTAGCTGGGTGTTGTGGCTGGTGCCTGCTGTCCCAGGTACTCTGGAGGCTGAGGCTAGAGGATCACTTGAGCCCAGGAGTTTGAGGTTGCTGTGAGCTATGATGATGCCACTGCACTCTACCCAGGGCCAGAGTGAAGCTGTCTCAAAACAAACTGGAAAAAAGAAAAAAGAAAAAATTGAACCCCCTTTTTAACTTCTCCCTTTCATATAAAATTTAAAAATATATATAAAATAATTCATTTTCCCATTCTAACTGAAGACATTATTCTGCTATATGCAACAAGTGATGTTTATTAGAGAATGGTTAGTTTCCTATGTAAAATAAACTTTCATATTTTGAACTCTGCTAAGTCTTTTTTTCGAGACAGAGTCTTCCTGTGTTGCCCAAGCTAGAGAGAGTGCCGTGGCATCAGCCTAGCTCACAGCAACCTCAAACTCCTGGGCTCAAGCAATCCTCCTGCCTCAGCCTCCAGAGTAGCTGGGACTATAGGCATGCGCCACCATGCCCGGCTAATTTTTTCTATATATATATAAGTTGGCCAGTTAATTTCTTGCTATTTACAGTAGAGATGGGGTCTCGCTCTAGCTCAGGCTGGTTTTGAACTCTTAACCTCGAGCAATCCGCCCACCTCGGCATTCCAGAGTGCTAAGGATTACAGGCGTGAGCCACCGCCCCCGGCCCCTGCTAAGTCTTAAAACTGTCATTTGTTTTAATCTAATTTTGTTGTTAAGGTACAGTTTTTAAATTAACTGGTTAATCCTTTTCAAATTACTGCTTGGGATAAGCAGGAAGAGAAACATCTAGAAATAAAACATTCATTCTGTAGTTGTTTGAATCACAGATGTCATTTTTAAAAGATATACTCTCACTTGTAATTATAATCTGACCTTCGGTATAAATATAAATTTTATTCCAACAAAAACTTTATAGTTTATTAGTACTTTGTCATTGCTTAAAGCAACTCCTTCAAGAATATACTTATGTGAAAAGGTCTGTTTTTCTTCCTTTGCGAGAAAACAAACATTTGAGCTATTCCAGATATTTCACACATTTTCATGTTTAATCCCACAGTGACCCTATAAAGTAGACACAATCTCCATTTTACAGATGAAAACACTCAGGCTCAGCATGAATAACCTGCCCAAGATCATATAGCAAATAAGCGTCCCAGAAAAGAACACAGTGATTACCAGAGAGATACTTTCTAGAAAACCACCAATCAGCACACTATTTCCTGGCAAAAGAGACACCCTGCCTCTGTCCCTATCCTTACCGGCTCAAATGAGATTATTAGGTTTATGTCTCCATTAAAATACCCAAATCAAATCAGAGACAGGTTCCTGGCTGAAATTCTATTTTGCATTTCTCCAAGAACTAAATGACAGAGCAGAAGAATCATACAACTCTATAGCTTCAGCTGTAAGACTTATTTGCTATCCCCATCCCATCTTTTATACCCATCATATGAGAAAGACAAATATCTAGGGTAAATTCTAAAAGGTTGCAGTACTCCAGGACTATTTCATAGGAAAAGTATGAAAATGCTCATGTCTTCATTTATTTTATTTTTTTATAAAAAGCAGGCATAAAATACAATTACATTACTACAAAGATGCAACAAATTAAAAAAGGGTACGATTTTATTCAGAGGGGACAGCTGATCAAATATTTATGATTATCTAAACCATGCAGTTCATAACTTATTACAGTTTCAAACAAAACTCATTATGGGGAAGGCAGACGGGGAGAGGTCCCCAAGCATCAGATTCAGCACTGTCACACAGTGCTTACCTTCAAAGTGCTTTACAATTAACCGTGTTGGGTCTTCACGAACATAGGGGAGCTGAAGCTCTTCAGGGGAGGGGGAGGGTTGAGGTCGTAGCAGTGGTCCAACGGACTGAAGAATCAAGTGATTGCTCAGTAAGTGTTAACCTGTTATTTAAGCTTCAGTAGGTTCTCATGGTCTGAGTTGTCATCTTTTAATCAGGATCCTAACAGAAAGTTCAACGCAGATAACTGTTTAATAGTGTGCGGCAATCTGGAGCTACCTTCTGTTGTTCGGACCTACAGATTAAGGTGACGCAAGGTCAGTCTTCAGGGCCCAGTTGTGCCCTGCAGACAGCAGGTTGTTTTCAAGGGCATTAACACTTTGGTATTTATGGTATGACGTATCCGTTATTTAGATGCTGTTAACTTTCGAATAGTTTTCTTAAAGAGAATCTTGCTCTAGTAGCATTTTTTTAAATACTTTAAAAGTTCACATCATTTAATTTCACAGTAACCCGGGCACGGTTTCCTTCCTTTTTTTTTTTTTTTTTGGACAGCAGTCTCGCTTTGCCAGGTAGTGAGTGCCATGGCGTCGAGCCTCGGCTGCAAGCCACCTCAAGACTCCTGGGCTCGCAATCCTCCTGTCTCCTCCGAGTGCTGGAATAAACAGGCTTGCGCCACCATGCCGGTATTTTCATCCTACATATATATTCAGCTGTTGGCATTAATTTCTTCCTATTTACTACGACAAGGGTCTCGACACTTGGCTCAGGTGGTTTTGAACTTCCTGACCTCGCGAGCATCCGCCCACCTCGGCTCGGCCTCCCAGAGTGCTAGGCATTCAGCGTGAGCCACCGCGCCGGCCCCTTCCACTTCTATCTCACAAGAGAAAGTAAAAAAATCGAACTAAGAAATCCATACTCAACTGATTTCTTAGTCCCAAATAGGAGGTTTTATTGGCTGTAGGAGAATCAGGTGTGAGAATAAGCACTTATAGTCTCCTAAATATCTTGGAAGCTTTGGGGCCTCGGAAAAAGGGAAACTGGCACACAATCAGGTTGTGTCCTACAGTATGAGGTGGTGGACGGACATGTGGACAGGTGCAATGACTCACGTGTGGCACGAAAAGCGGCAATGCGGTAAAAGCATTCTTACCCAAAGGTCAGGAATCTTATTAGGATTTCTGTTTAGTGGACAACAATAATCTTATGCAACCACATAATCGTCGGAGACCATGGAGGAGATTTTTTCACCCCTCAGAATTATTTTGTGCCCACAATACTTCAATTCAATTTTCTGTACAGTTGCATCACCCGGTGATTCCCTCCATGTTGTCTCTAATATATACAGGCATTCAACTTTGAAACTTCGTGCCTTTTCACTCAAATATTGCGTTATCATGTGTAAACTTGAATTGGTTCACCTTATAAGTTATTAAGAAATAGTATATATACTCTCAATCAGAATAGGGGTAGAACCTCCATAGTGTACAACAATCTTTATAAATATTTAAGTTCTACTCCTTTTAAACTCTAATGAGTGGACAATTATTTATTCTCTATAAATTTTATATATTTTTCATTTTTTAATCTTACCAAAAAAAAAAAAAAAAAGCTGTCCACCAAAACCAAACTGCAGAACATACCTGTAAGAGAAATGGCATGCACATCTAGTTTTAGCACAGACAGCACATAAAAGAGTGCAGACTGGATAATGTAAGAATAACAAAATTCAGTTTCAGAACATCAGTAGGCCAATGACTGCTCTTCAATTTCCACAATGGTATCTATAATGGGGATATAACTCTTTAAATATCTCTATACTGACACCAGAGGGAATCAATGAAATAATTATGTCTACTTCCTTCATTGAAATATTAGATGATGTATATTTCAGTATCATACCATACTCTGTGTGTATGTATATGAAGAGAGACTGATAAAAGACTACATAATTTTTTTTTTTTAAAACCTGATGCTTACCATTGCTGCATACTGTTATGGTATAAAATATATACTTATCTGTGATCATGAGAATTGTAACAGGAATGGTCCTGCCTAAACTGTAATTTTAACAGCATTTAAAAAAGGAAAATCAAATTAAGTGCCTTTGAGGCCACTTCTTCCCAGTTATCAGTTTTTTCTTAACCCAATACTGAAATATTGCCATATACAGTTGTGTGTTTGAAGATCACATTCAAATATTAAAATATATCTACAGTATGTCTAAGTTTTCTTTATATTTGCAATAATTTTAGAATCTTGAGTGTGAATGTAATGATAATCACAAATGTTTTTGCCAGAAATAAAAGCACATCTAGGGTAGCCAACAAATTCAAAGCAAAGCAAACATTTTGTAGTCACAGACTGACATTGAGGTCTGTAAAAGGGGTTGGATGAATAATAGATACACATCAAAGATATATTAGTTCTAATACTATCCATTATTGTTCCTATAACCAATACTTAAAAAAAATTTGTTATACAATCAAAATAGGCTAAGATTGATATAACTATTATGTGTAAAAATAGTGCACTATTTTTCTTCCACAAAGCAAGTTTGCATCCTAAGAGCTGGTAAACACTTTTTTTTTTAATACAGAAAAGGGCTGAGACTTTGAAAAAAAAATTAGGGCATTCAAAATGGGCAAAGTTGCCTATCCTGAAGCATTAGGAAACTGATAAAAATAACTTCAAACTTCTTGTTACAGTAACTGCTTAAACACGAACATGCAGCTTCCATCAGGTACACACGAATGAGTGATAGAAACTCCAACATTATGGCTTTATACAAGTGCATAGTTGCAACTGCAGTAAGTAATGATATCTGATTAATGTATATAAAAAATAAAGTGGGAAGTTTAAAAAACCCTCTTGCAGTATTACAGTACTATATATATATATGGTTTTTAAAATATATATATATATATATATACACAGTATAATGGTCACTTCTGAAAGATGCAGTCAGTATCACTGTAGTGAAATCCATTTCCAGATTCTTCTGGTGAATGTGCTGGTGAAATCTCACTATTGAAGCTGAAAAGATGACTTCTTCAAACTTTAAGTCTTCTCCATCCTTTTGTGCAATGTAGTGTGAGTGACTGCCAAGAGAGCTTTATGAAACAAGTTTGGAAGAGTTGCACATGATATCCTTACTCTATTACCAATCACAGTTGGTTCAATCAATTTGTTGCCTCAAAGGAGCCCAGGAAATCTGTCCAAAATCTGTCATTTATATTACAGGGGGAAAAGGAACATATATGTATACGTGTATTTATCAGTCTCTCTGGAAAATACAGCTTTTTAAGAAATTTTGAGCCATTATAATTTCAGTCTTGTTTTAACTGGAAGAATACGATCACCTTGAATAAATGACTGCTTTCATAGAAGGCAGCTAGCTGGAAAGAAAGGAAAAATAAAGTTAGCTGATACAGTTTAAATTGTATAATAGCTGAAATAATTTAAGAGATTGTTAAATTCCTTGAAAATGCATTCCATTCACATTATTAAACTATATTGTTTTCCTGCTACTCTATTTTTAACACCTAAATCATGCGTAAGTATACTTATTATATTACTTTTCTTATTTTTAGGTACATGGGACTTATATTCTTTTCTCAATATATGGACTTTGAAAGTTCCATATTGGCTGCAAACATTACACAAGTTTTAATATGATTAATTAGCTATTAGACTTATTTAATAATATGCCACAGAATGACTCTGAATGTAAGTTTGATTTGGTGTTTAACTGCTAGCTGCCTAAGCAGCTGAAAGAGCAGTGGACTTAAGGACCAGGTTCCAGTTGGCTGCTTGACCCTCAGCCACATTTTTCTTTTCTATAAAATAGGAACAAATAGGTTATAGTAAATCTATGCAAAGATACTCTGCTAACCAGGTTATAAATAGATCCCAATAGTACATGCTTTATGTTTTGCAACATGCTTACTTAGGTTAAGTCACACAGTACTTCTTTTAAAACCATTCTATGTAAAAGATTTAAGTCATGAGGCTCAACTTTCATTCACATCTCCCTTAGGCACTATTAACCAAACTATTTCACATTTTCTAAAAGCACAAGAGTTTTCACAGCAATACTATTAACATTCTTCAGCAAGAGTAACATTAAATTCTCACAAAGCAAACATTTCAGAGCATCACACACACAAAAGCCAAATCAGAAATAACTATTTCACAGCACTTATTAGACTTATAAAGTTTTTATAGTTTCAATTCTTGCAAGTTGGAAAGAAAGAGGAAGGAAGAAGACAGAGATGGAGAAAGAAAAGAATCCCATGCTATGTTCACAAACTAGTACAGTTGCAGAAACTTAAAAATGTTGTAAATTTTACTTTCCCTCTGAATATGGAATGAACACAGAATTAACTCCTTTTGTGGTTTCTACATGTTTCATTCCTAAAATAAAAAATTTTAATTCCAACTGTACTGGAAATTTATAGCCAATAAAGAATCTGAACATAGCATTTCACATTTATACTTAACATGGCAATTTCAGTTAGAAACTTGTCTGAAAAGGACTTTTTAAACTATGTACTATTAGCAACTTTATAAATTTTCAAAACGAGTCATAAATAATGAAAGCACGAGTGCAAACCACATGCACTATGTAGAAATACTAAAATAACTCATTTTTCTTTTTTTGATTTACCCCATTTATTTCTTCAGAAATCAAAAACATCGTCATCATCATCACCACCATCAACATCATCAAATGACCAATCCCAGTCTTTAAATGCCAAATCAAGCAATCTGCAATAGGAGGTTTGCAAATTTATACTCTAACATTCTTTAGAAATTGCAGCTTAATGCTATGACCTAGAAATCATACTTTGAATATGCTGTAAACATTGTAACTTTCCCTTCATGGTTAACAGTATGATTAAAACTAAGATGGAAGCTCACAGGGAAAACTTTCCCTTTATATGGAATTACATACAATCTGTTGGCCAGGTAGCTACCCTTTCCAGAATACCAGAGAGCTGAAGACAGAGATAGTATTTGGGATAATAAGACACAAGGTGCTTCCCCCTCATCACTCCTATACCCCAGATAAAGACGTGACCATCTTGATGCCTAGTTTTGCTTGACAACTATGAGAGCCCAGCATTTGTTAATATTCCTTTCACAAAAGTGGTTAGATTACCAGCTCACATTTTCCCACCATTATACCATAAGCCATGATATAAAAAGGGAATAAAATAGTAAGAACACAGCTTTTTGAATTCCAGCAGGACCTGCTCCAAGGGTCACCAACAGCTATGCTGTACATATGAAAAACGATGGACAAGCTGCCAGGTATGTATGTAAGTAGCATCAGCAACGTATCTCAGCTAAATAAACTGGACTTAGTGCTGGGTTATATGTGGTCTTTTCTTTCCAATCCAATAACCTGGACTGTAACATTGCAATCATCTTTGTTTTTAAAACTAGCAGTAACCTTTCATCATGAATAACTGTGGTTGGTTGTTCACCAATCAACTTTTGCCAAGAAACTCCCCTGGTCCCCAAAGTCTCAGTTCTTAAACTGTAGTGCATGTGATTTACTGAGTGCTCTCTATAATGCATATTACCAGGACTCATCCCAAGAGATTCTGATATGACTGGACGGAAGTTGGGGCCCAAAGATTTGCATTTTTAAATAAAATACCTGAGGTGATTTCTGATGCAGCTGGTTAACATTGAGAAACACTGACAAGAGTAGGTTGGTGGATAATTACCCTAATTTAAAAGTAAAGAAACTACTCCGATTACTTTTTTCAAATGTGCTAAACACAGAATAATATTTCAGAAAACACACAAGCTTAGATATAATTACTTATTCACTTAATACATATCACAGCCTAGTGTACATTTATTTTTCTATGCTTAAATATAAAGGAACTTTCAGCTATGGTTTCCGCTCTCCTGCCTGGGAGGCTGAGACCCGCAGGCCTTCCAGGGCATCCAAGCCCCAGCTTGGCTACTTGACGATAAACCTGCATTGCGCATCCTTCCAAAACCTTTGCAGTGTGTGCTGGTGTCCGGATCTCGGATTTACAAATTCCAACTGCTAGATATTAGTGCAGTGCACACAGACTTCCCTCAAACCTTCTCCCCCATCCCCTTCCAACCAGTCACCCAATTCTAGTCATTTAGACTTAAGAAACCTCTCTGAATCCAGGTTTCTTCTCTCCTTTTTCACTGTCAGTACTCAGTTTAGGATCTCCTTAAGTCTGAACATGCCAATCCCTAATTGAAAGACTTGTACTTGTAGAACAAAATCAAAACTCCTTAGCCTAGTATACACGGTCCTTTTCAGTCAGATTCAAAGTTTTCTCTCCAGTGTTATCCATCTGCTCCCACTCTCTGCCGTCACCCTCTGTCACCCAATCCAACATAAAATTACAAACTTAAGTGTTCTGACAACTCCACACATAACATTTTGCCTGGAGTTGGCTTTTTCTGTATTTATTTGCCTGTAAAATTATCAATCTTCCAGTTTTTGAGACCTTAATGTCCTCAGGCAGAATTCTCCATGCTTTGTATCCCCGTATCACTGTTCATGTGTCTATTATAGCCAACATCTTACACAGTGCTGTGTCTGCTTGCTCGCCTGTCTCCTCTGTTAACTGGTCACTAGAGATACACTACAGGCCTGGGGAAATTGTCAAAGACTGCTTCAGAAATAGGGTCCATTTAATTTTCAGTTCTACCAGCAATACATGAAATGTCCATTTCTGTATCTCGCCAATACTAAGTTTCTTAAACCTTGCCAGTTTCGCAGGTGAAAAATGGTTTTATGTTATAGTTCTAATGTAATTTTAATTTCTTTAATACAGTTGTCTTTCCTTATCCATGGTTTCACTTACCAGTGGTCTACCATGGTCTGAACATATTAAATGGAAAACTTCTGAAATAATAATTCATTTAAGTTTTAAACTGCATGCCATCCTTCAACAGGGTGATGAAATCTCATGCCATCTGCTTGGGACACGAATCATGCCTTTGTCCATCACATATCCCTGCTGTAGATGCCACCTTCCTGTTAGTCACTTACTACTGGTCTTGGTTATCAGACTGAAAAAACACGGTATATATAGGATTTGGTACTATCTGTGGTTTCAGGCATTCACTGAAGGTCTTGGAATGTACTGCCCATGAAATAAGGGAGGACCACTGTAATTAGGTTGATCATTTATATTTTACATTTAACTGCTATTACTATAGTAATGCCTGCATATTTCTCACTAATTTTATATTGGAATGAGGCAATCTTCTTTTTCTTAATGATTTATAAGGACTCTTTATATACAAAGATACTAACTCATCTTTCTCATATATATTGTAAATACATGGTGTTCTAAAAATTTACAAGGCTTTATATTTTGAGGTAATCAATCTTTGACTTTGTTTTCTTCTTTTGTTTTATTCTTTGGAAGTTCTTCTCCAATCCAATATCAGATACATATTCATTCATATTCACCTATTCTCTTCTGCTTCATTTATGGATTTATTTTTCACACTTCAAGTTGTATATAACTTTATTATTTTTCCCAAATAATTAGTCTGTTAATTTTCTAATATTAGAAATAGAAAAGAGCAAAGATAAGGTAATAATAACATAACAACTACCCTCACCCTTAAGTTTTAACTGTGTTGGCATGTTTTATACTTTTCTTCATGACTTCAGTGTTGCATTTTTAAAAATGAACTTTGAAAGAAAAATAAAGAGAAATGCCCTCTAGATAGACCCATATTTTGTGTCTTGCATTGAAATAAACTAGGACCTCTGCAAATTGTCTTAATTAGCATTTTATTCACAAATTTCCTACTTTTTCAACATAGCATTTTAATTCAAAACTACTAAGAAAACATTCCTTTAGAATAGCATTTCTACACATTATGTTTTATAAGATGTCGATTAAGTTCTACTCCTATCACTGTGATGCACTGGAGTATTACAGTTAAAGGTGCAGGCTCTGGATCTAGACTATCTGGAACTAAATTCATGGCTCTGCCACTTATTCGCTGTGTGACCTTAGGCACACAATCTTTCTGGGCCTTATCTTCTTCATCTGTTGAATGGAGATATTAATAGCTACTTCATGGGGTCGTATTGAGGGTAAATAAGTTAGTGTAGTTAAAGCTCTCAGAAGAGTGTCTGGCATAAGTACTCAAAAATGTTATTTTCTATAATAATAATAGCTAACACTTATCCATTACTTTAAAACACTTCACAACTACAGAAAATGGGAAGTGCTGCAAAGAGAGTTAAGAGGAGAATCAGAACAAGGAATGTCACAGAAGCCAAAGGAAACATGTAATGGTACAGTTGTCAACAAAGAAAGATACTGAGGAAAAGTTACCAAAAAATGATCAAGTGAGTATTTATGGGTGTATGTTTTAGTGTGTATATAAATGTATAGATTTGGTGGGTCTGACAAAGCCAGACATTTGCTTGAAGAAGGATATCATGTTAATTAGTTCAAATGAAACTAGACTGACTAGTGCTAAGGCTGATACTAAATAAACTCAAACGAGGAACTACATATGAAATCATTGCTGATACATACCAGAAATTCTGTCCCTATGTTTTCTTGGATGATCCTTTAACAGCTCTACCCATTTGTATACAGGAATATGTTATAAACTAGTAGAGTGTTAAAGGCCATCTAGTCTGAAGCTTGACTCCTCTCTAGAATAATGCTACAAAATGTGGTTGAAAATTTGTCTCTCTGATTCTTTCTTGTTCTAATACCTCTTCCAAGGGAAGGAAAGGTTCTTTAAATGTTTCGTGCTTTTTATGATCTCTCACACTTTCAAATAATTTCTTCTGAAGGCAAACTAACCTTGCTCCTTCCCTTGCTATATGTGTAATACTTTCCAATAACCCATTCCCACTTGGTTATTCTCTTCTTTATACTCTCAAATTTGTATATATGACTCTTAAAATGTGACATTTAAAGTAGAATGCAAACTGTAGGTTGTTGGTTCATGTCAGAGACACAAATACAATTTTATGAGTTTATGAAGCAATGAAGACTCAAATGTCAAAAACAATGGAAATAATGTTGCAGAGGCACAACAAAATCCAAATTATATTTTAAGTATGCTCTTTACATTTAGGATTTCAAAGAGTATATTTTAAAAAAAAGGGTATATTAAATAAAAAATTCTTACAAAATGTACCCTATACATTTTACTGTCAGTCTTGATATTAGTTTTATCTACATGCATAGTTGTTAAGATGAGAGAAAGAAATACTTATTTCTTACCGTTACTATGACAAAAATTTAAAAAAATCAACAAAGAATGATTCAAAGGGTAGGGCCAGAAGTTAAAAAAAAAAAAAGTAACAAAAATCAAAAGTAAATGTGCTTTCAAACACATCACAATGCTGATTTGGGGCAGGGAGCAAGGAAAGTGTAAGTCAGTGAACATGAAAACAGGCTGTTACATAATTCAGGGCATGACTCATTTGGTCTGAAAACTGCTTCATAAACTCATTCTATATGTTATGATATGCAGAGAAATCATTAACTTGTCAAATAGCACAAAATAAAAAATATATAGAAAGTGTTGGGGCTGTTATAGTCCTGGATCTAAATAAACTGCCCCTCTGGAGTCTCAATCAAAGAAAATGATAGCAATACCTGCTCTACTCCATATGAGCATTTTAAAGCTCAAATGAAAGAATACCTAAGAAGTTAAATGAGAGACTAGAATATATACGGAAGCACTTTGGAGGCTGAAAAGTACAATATATTATAAGGTATTAAAATAGCATTTATGCATCAATAGTTTTACAACATTAATAGTAGGAACTTAATTTTTAGAAGTTTTATACAAGGCACATTGAATGGCCTTCAGTGTCTCTGAACTCTGAGTTTCTTTAGCTTAATTACTATCAATAATCACTATTTTATAATATTTAGTTTCATCATACCTCACACAAAATATTCAACATTTTCACTGCTGAAACACCAATTCTACCTTTGCCATTCTAAATTATTTCCTTCTAGTTTCAAGAAAGTTCGTATAAGATATTTGTGGTTAGAATAAGATTTCTGATAATACAGCCAATGCACATCATTATTCGTATACTGAAGGTCCTGTGTTAGGGAACAAAAAGGATACCTGAAATTAGATACCTGATCTAAGTGTAACTTTTTCCTTTAGCTAACCAAATCCTCATGTTAACTCCATGTGCAATGAATAACAATGTCTAAAAACGCTGTAGTACCTAGTAAGCAAATGAATGGCTATTCTGAATCAAGATACTTAATTAAATGACTTTAACACAGCCATATGAAAAATGGCTCCATCAAATTGTTTATGTGCATCATGATCATACCTTACCTTCCTCCATGTTCTTAACTCTACCTCAATTCCAATTAATGCCCACTTTACCCATCAGTTAAGATTTGCATTTTTAAAGATGGTTTATATTTTTCTCCAAATCACGATTGAGTTACTATTTAAATGTATGGATTTGAATTAAGACTTCAGCTGAATTCAGTCCTACTTCCCAAGTCACCTAATATAAAAACGTTTGATCATGAATCACAGTGTGCACACTTTATACTTGAGGGTCTGTGTGCAATATTTTTTTTTTCTTAGAGATGGGGTCTTGCTCTGTTACCCAGGCTAGAGTGCAGTAGTATGATTATAGCTCACTGCAGCTTCAGACTCTTGGGCTCAAGTGATCCTCCCACCTCAGCCTCCCGAGTATATCACCATGCCTGCTTAACTTTTTTGTGGAGATAGGGTCTCACTATGTTGCCCAGGCTGGTCTCAAACTACTTGCCTCAAGCAATCCTCCTGCCTCAGCCTTCCAAAGTGCTGGGATTACAAGTGTGAGCCACTGAACCTAGCCTTCTGTGCAATGTTAATACTATCTCCTAAATTACTACATTAGTTAAAGCACTTACAAAAGCTGAAAGTAGTATGATTACATAGTCAGTTCGCACTTAATGTTGTTGACAGGTTCTTAGAAATTGTGACTTTAAGTGAAATGAAGTGTAACAAAATCATTTCTTTTCTCATTAGTGTTATAGCGAAACACTTTGAAGGAAACAACTTTATTCGCTGGAAGTTTCCAAGAACTTGTGGATGTTAACTGAGGGCTGACTATATATCTAAACATGACAAAAATGAACGCTTTATAGATTTTTGGTTGAATTTAATGTATGAGTGTGATTTAGTAAATAAATTTATATCACTTTCATCCAAATCAATGAATGAGACATGCATACTAAAATACTTTCAAACATTTGGTATTCCATGGCTCTAAAATTTCCTTTCCAAGCAAAGGAAAACTAATTAGGAAAATTTGTAGTTTGAATATAAATAGCAAAATATTTTAATAGATTTTAATTTTAACCACATTTTAATTCATTACCTTGGTTTGTTTGGGGCAAGCTGTCGACTTGGCCGTCTAATAGACTGGTTTGGTTGTATCTTCATCGAAGTTCTAGGAGATGACCGTGCAAAAGGGTCTGGAGCTGGGGGCTTTTTGGGTATCTTTTTTACCAACCGACTAACCCACTTCTGCTGCTCTTCTGTAGAATTTGCTAATAACAATAGATTCTTTGCCGTTGAAATATCATAATACACTATAAAGAAATTTTTGAAAAAAGTTAATATGCTTAAAATGATCTGAACATAAATAAAATTGATGGAGTAATTTACTAGTTACCTTTACAAGGTGCTATAATCTCCTCCTTTTTGTCCATGTGATCTTTATGACATTTAATATGGCAGCGACGGCACTCTAAAGCAGGAGGGGGTTTAAACATATGCCACAGCGGCTTCATACAAGCCTCACAGTTGGTTGGGAAATGATAAAGAGTAGGAATAAATTCATGTCCTTTGTGGCAAATATAATTAGATTTTTCTCCAACTGGCTCCACTGGAAATTCTTGTTCCTTCTTACTTTCTCCTTCATTGGCATATAGAATCTATAAACAGTAAAAAAACAATAAATGATTCCAAACATATTTTTTATGTAGCAACCTTTCTGATAGTATAGATAAAGTAAAATTAGTCTTAATTATTCAGTGAGAAGAAAATGCATTGGAAATCAAAACCTAAGCAGGCTCTGCCTAATCAAGAGCCTCTGTAAGAAAAGACATTAGACAGTCATTTTGGTTCACATTTCGAAAGAACTGATCGTGTTCAAATGCTGCCTCCTTATTTTCTCTATATTTTACTATGCTTTAGCAACACTATCAGGCCAGCAAAAGGTAAATTTGCACTTCATAAGTATTAGAAAGTTTTTTGCAAGAGACTGTTCAAAACAATTGCCTGAAGAAATGTGGCAATTATACTAATTGATGTGTTATAATCCTTAAGAACAGAAAACTGTGTGGTAGCTGTAAGCATAGCTACATTTTAAAAGATATGTATTTGGAGAGTTGAGGGAAAAAAAGAGGAAAGGATGTGTAAAATACTATGAATAAACATTACAAGTATCCAGAAAACAAGGGGCCAACTCCCAAATAGCACACTAAGCACAATGGCTTTTATACAGAAAAACTCCATAACTAATTGTTAGACTGACTAATTTTAAAATGAAAGCAGTAAAGGGAAGTATTTGGCTTTATTTTAAATTGGAAGTAAAAGGGATACAAGGTACAAACTTAACTCCATAAGCAATTTTTTTTACTTTCTAGAGAGCTGAACACAAAATTGAAAACAGAAGGAAAAGGTCGATGCTTAAAAAAATTATAACTAACTTTAAAAATATAGCAAGGACCAGAAACACGATATAAATACACTACAGACTTTAACAATTAAAATGGTAAGCAGAATGAAGATGTATCCAAATACAACAAAAGTCACAAAATAAAAAATCATTTTTAAATGGTACTGAAACAGAAAGGTAATCTGAAGGCCAAAAAATAAAGAAATTTGATCTGTCATATCATAACTTAGGTGAAAAAAATAAAACCAACCAAACAAACAAAAACAAAATAAAACTATGGTTACCTGGAATATCCTTGGAATTTCTTTAGCATCTGCTCTATATACATCTGTCTGTGTAACTGGTCGGACATGAAATAACTTGCTATGAAAGATTTTAAATAAAGAAATAAAATATTACCCAAGGATCAAATTATATTAACCTATACTTAACTCAGAAGTTAAAAATTAACTACTTTGAACCATGTTAGGAGCTTATCGAATATCTTATTCTATTAATTGAATCATTACCAAAGATTTTTAGCAATTTCTAACTTTCATCTGTATAAAGCAAATGGCAAGAAAACCTAACAACAGTATGGAAGGAGCTATACTATAGTTCTTATATGGCTAATAAATTACATTAATTGTCACTCTCTTACCACACTTTAAAAGATGAGAAAAGATATAGTTTCTAAATATTCTAATAAAAGCACTTACTCAATATCTAAAACCATGTAAGGGTTAGATTGTTCTTTATCTTGTTCACTGTCGTAGAAAAGAATCTTCTTACTGCTCACAATCACATACTGTTAAAAAGAGGGAGGAAAGGAATCAATGACTCAAGTTATTATATACCTTATTTATTGATTTTCTTTGAAAATAAATTCTTTTTTTTTTTCTTGGTGACAGAGTCTCACTTCTGTAGCCTGGCCTAGAGTGCCATGGCATCAGCTTAACTCACTGCAACCTCAAACTCCTGGGCTCAAGCAATCCTTCTGACTCAGCCTCCTGAGTAGCTGGGACTACAGGCATGCGCCACCATGCCCAGCTAATTTTTTCTATATTTTTAGTTGGCCAATTAATTTCTTTCTATTTTTAGTAGAGAAGGGGGTCTCGCTCTTGCTCAGGCTGGTTTCAAACTCCTGACCTTGAGCGATCCACCCGCCTCGGCCTCCCAGAGAGCTAGGATTATAGGCATGAGCCACCTACACAGCCCTGAAAATAAATTCTATATTAGCAATAAAATCATATAAAATACCTGAGTAACTAAAAAGTACTTAATACATCTTCAGGAAAGTCTTCCTTAAAATAAGTTTGTTTGTAGATATTTTAAATAAGTAAATGGGGGAGAGGGTGAAGTTGAATATTTTTGGACTTATTTAGCTTTGGGATTCAACAGCAATAGTAACCTTATCAAAAATGAACATAATAACATCAATAATCACAGTAACAGAAGAAAAGAAATAAATGGGTCTTTTTTAAAAATCATATCCAGAGTTGTTTTCCCACTGAAACAGCAAAAGCAAGAAGATCAATGGGCTTATATTTTCCTAACAACAAAACCTGTTTTATTAATAACACATGAAGAAAAAAACAAATTTTACAAAGATAAATAAAATAACATCATTCCTAAATCATAAAGTATAAATAAGTTTTATGTGTCTAGAAGTTCTAGTCATGTAAATCCAATGGTTGGAGTTACACCAAAAGCAAAACAAAAAACAATAAAAATCATATTCAAAGGAACCAATTACCTTTTTAACCCATCCAAATTTCTTAGTGTTGTTTCGCACAGGCAATGAAAGCCATCCTTCTAATCTTGACTCTATAAATAAAAGCATAAGATATAAGTTTACATGTAACAATTCTCCTCTGACAAGGAATTTAATAAATTTTTAAATGAAAGTCAGAAACCAAATAAGGCTTTCAGAACTTATCATGGTATATTATCTAGGATACCATAACAGCATAGGATCAGTAGAAATAAGTTATGTAATGCAAAACAAAATCTATGTTATATAACATTGGAAATAGATATTCTATAGTTTTTATAAAGTCAAATATCCCACTAATTAAATTCATGCATTTGCAAAATTCAGGAGAAAAGTTGCAAAAAAAAAAGGCAGCAGCAGAAGCTCTCAGTTGTCACTGGTCCACCAGCATTACATTAGAACCCTTTATTTTTCCTTTGGAAAAAGGCCTAACTATAGATATAGTGCACATCTTTGAGGAGAAAACATTTTAAATAATTGCATGTTCAGAGAAAATGGACTTTTAGAATGGCCATAGTAAATTTATATGAATTATACAAATTTAGTTAACGAGCAGCAATATAACCAAAAGATATCTAAATTCCAAAATATCAAAATCAATAAAATTCTAGTTCAACAAAGGAAAGTGCCTGAATCCTTGGAATTTATCCTAAATGATAAGTAATCAGTATCTTTTAATGAAATAAATGAAATAGCATTTTGGGCGGTTATCCTATTAATAATAGCAAAAGTAGTTATCACTTATCTAACATCTACAATGTGTCAACTGTGCCTAGATGCTTTACATAAATTCTCTTCAATCCTCCCAACAACCCCACAGAACAGGAATTATACCCTTAATTTTGATGAGGATATTGAAGCCTTGAAAGATCACACAGAGATACCTCCTTGACATTAAATGAAGAAACTCTCTGGTTTTTTAATTTAATCTAAAAGCCCCTTCAGGGTAAAGATCAGCCCAAATTGCTTCATATTCTCTTATTTTTTTTTTTTTTTTGAGACAGAGTCTCGCTTTGTTGTCCAGGCTAGAGTGAGTGCCGTGGCATCAGCCTAGCTCACAGCAACCTCAAACTCCTGGGCTCAAGTGATCCTTCTGCCTCAGCCTACGGAGCGGCTAATTTTATATATATATATCAGTTGGCCAATTAATTTCTTTCTATTTATAGTAGAGACGGGGTCTCGTTCTTGCTCAGGCTGGTTTTGAACTCCTGACCTTGAACAATCCGCCCGCCTCGGCCTCCCAAGAGCTAGGATTACAGGCGTGAGCCACAGCGCCCGGCCCATATTCTCTTATAAGGCCTAGCACAATGTGACTAGGTAAGCACTCAATAAAAACCTGAGAATCCTCTGAAACAGTCTGCATGTTTTTTCTGTACTGTCACTTCTGATATTAAACTTTGTAAAGACATTCTTCTTGGTTGAAACAGCTAAAACAAGTAGTGAAACCATGCATTCTTAAGCAATATAATGTACCGCTCCATTCTTGTTAAGTTGGCAAAATAAATGACCGATCACAATTACAATAGTAATGCCATATGAAAATACCTGAAAACCAAATTCTTTGTTCATGCAGCAGTTTATTTTTAAGCGAGTATAGAGCAACATGTTAGAGTTAGTGAATATTAGTTAATGTTATAAAAATTTTTCAAAAGGGCTAAAATCAAGGGTAGTAGGAAAAACGCTAAAGATGAAAAGATTTTCAGGATATCACCTGTACCATTAGGTTCCGTTGAAATGGGTAAATAAGGCAAAGATTCTTCTTCTGAGTCAGAGTCAGAGTCAAGGAGCATGTGAGAACTGGAAGGCTTAGTGGCAATATTGAGAGAAGTAGAGGAACGCTGGTAGGTGAATGACATGGATTCCATAGTGTGTGATTGAGTGATATGAACTACACACCCAACATAAAAGTAAGAATGCAGGAAGAGAAAATAAAATGAAAGCTTAAAAAGAGAGCTACTATAATATATAATGAGTTAATTTACATAACTAAACACATGGAGTTTTCTTTTGCATGTTTATGAAAAAGTCTGTCAAAAACCAAACCAATAAATAAAATAATTCTAAAATGTTATTTGAATCCCCACTCCAAAGTGTAGGTTTTCCCTTTAAAAAATGACAAACATTTTTCCTCCAGAGCAAAGTCAGTCACAGGACTTAAACCAATCTACTGACTTATATTAAAGACAAACAAGAGGGATGAAAGCAAATCTGTACCTGGAAACCCATCATCTGCCTCAGCATCCCCTGGTCCACTGCCTATACTGGAACTATCCAGACCAATATGTAAGGCCTGGAGCTGTGACCGCAGCTGCTCAATGTCACTGTCTTTACTGTCCAGTGTCATCTGCAGTTCAATTCGAATCTGGCTCTCTTCAGCTATTTGCTATAAGAAATTAAATTAACAAATTAAATGGATGCAATATATCTCAGAATTTTGCTTCTTGGTTCAATAATAATAATTATTAATAGAAATGTTCTACCAGTGAAATATACACAAACATGAAAATAATTCCACTTCTTAAAAAGAAGTCTTTAATCTAGAGTCCAAAAAGTATTCTTACAGCCTGCATTTCATTCAGTTCTTTCTGATACTTGATCATCTGCTGGGTCAATTTTTCACGTTCAGATTTAAGCTCCATATGTAGCTTTCTATTCTCCTTCTCTTTCCTCCGCACATCTGTGTCACTACCACGCTTAACAGGTTCTTTTCGATTCATGATCTCAGCCAATTTATTCACAGCCTTAAAAACATAAAAATATGTATGTAAATAAAATAAATTACATTGATGATTTCTAAGTAACTCATCAATAGCAAGTTATACAATCACTAATAATCTTTTTCCCTATAGATAGGGCTACAAAGAAACATTCCATATTATCTAAATAATATACCTTTATTACTCATCATCTACCTCCATTCTATACTGTTAGTTTTTTACACGTTTTCTGAGAACTATAATTTTAAATATTTATAGTTTTGATCTGATGTCACTCGCTACAACATTTTAGTTCCAAAAGAGACTTCAACAGGCAGATCTTTCTTCCTTCATTCTAAAAGAAAATTTTGCATGGGCATCACATTAATAAAATATACCATGTCCAACAACAGCGAAGCGTACCTAGTACCCACACGCCTTTGTGCTGTATATACAATTGTGGGAGTTGGCAGAGGGGTGGCCAATAATCACAGGTGCCTTTTCAGACTGACCCTTTCAAGCTGTCAGCAAATGGTCATTCCCTATCGTTCCTTAAAAGCAGAAAAACTTATTAAATCACAATACAAAAATCGGGAGAGAATGTGATTCCATATGGAAAAATTAAGAAAAAATTTAGTAGACATTAAACTGGACAATATTAATCAAATCTAACTTCTCCCAACCTGGCAAAAATCAGTAATTTTGACTACTCACAAATTTTGATACATTCAATGACTACTGCTTCCAATTTCTAATGCTAGAAGAGATAAACTAAAACAAAATTCAAAATCATATTTAGATTCTCTTATACATACTTGAGTTTTGAGGGTTCTTTCTGTTAACAGCTGTTTCTCAAACTGTGCTTTAATAGCTGCTGCACTTATCTCTTCATCTTTCAACCTTGACAGTTCTGAAACATGGAAAAATTTAAAAAGTTTATTGATAACAATTACAGCAACTGATAAATATGAGGTATAATAAAAATTAACATTATTCTTTGTTAATACATACGCTCTTGAGCATCCTTCAATTTATTATTTAATTCTTCTTTCTCATTTGCAAGATTGGCAACATCACTAGTTAGTGTCCTATTAGTTTCTTCAAGCTAAGAAATTAAAGTGGAAAAATAAAATCACATCCCTGTTTACAAAATTTAAGTTATAAAACAACAATTCAAATAGAAAACATCCTGCGATGTTACTGAACCTCTTGTTTTTCTAAGTATATCCACTGCTACACTTCTCGTCCTTGTGATACCTTGCCCAACTTCATCCTTGATAAAAATTTCACTAACTATAATAGACTTCATATGCACACCAGGAAGCCAAAAATTTGTCCTTTCCTCATAAATCCATAGCAGTTTTTTCTAAATGAGAAAAACATTTAATAAAGCAGAAAAAAGGAAATTCAAAGGCCTGAATAATAATTATGAAGAATAGAATTTAAGAACTAATATTTCTTTCATAGTATTATTTTTAAATGGAAAATAAAATTTTATTGAAGAAGTTGACTTTCTTTTGCATTCCTTCCAAATTCTATTTCTATTCTTCTTTCCTGAAGGAAGTTTTATTATAAGCTGTATTCACCTTTTTCACTTATAATTGTGTTTTATTACATACACCTGAAACAATATATAGTGTGGTTTTATGAGATTTCCAATCATACTGTATTTATCTCTTTGCAACTGTTTTCACTCAATATGTTAAAGAATTAAACTGCTGATATCTATAAAGATCTAACTAATTCATTTTAACTGACATAATTAGTTTCACCTTCTACTACATTTAATGTAGTCATTCATTTGTCTACTAATAAGACATTTGGGCCAGGTGCAGGGGGTGATGCCTATTATCTCACCACTTTGGGAAGTTGAGGATGGGGGGGATCACTTGAGGCTAGGAGTTTGAGACCAGCCTGGGCAACATAATGAGACCCCATCTCTATAAAAAATAATTAGCCAAGTGTGCTGGTGTACGCCTGTAGTCCTAGCTACTTAGGAGGCTGAGGTGGGAGGATCACTTGAGCCTAGGAGTTGGAGGATACAGTGAGCTAAGATCATGCCAATGTACTCTAGAGCCTGGGTAATAAAGCAAGACCCTGTCTCTTAAAAAAAATTTAGATTTTGCTGTAATAGTTATGCTGTTAAAAGTGTCATGCCTGAGTTTCTATACTGTTTTTATCTTAATGTGGACTTTCTCTGGACAGTATTATATGAATATTTAATATTTACTAGAAATTGCCATACTACTTACCATACTATGCTCTGCCATACTAAATTTACACTCCCCATAGTAGTAAATAAGAATGTCCTCTTCCCGATAGTCTTTAAACACTAGGAATTGTCAGATAATGAATTTCTGTCAATGTAATGGGTCTATGAAATGGTCTTTCAAAGTTGTTTTATCTAGGCTTTTCTCAGAGAGTAGTGAGGTTAAGCAACTGCTTATCTATTTAGGTTTTATCTTTTGGCCAATTTTTCTTCTGAATTGTTTAACCTTTTCTTACTGAATTGCATGAGTGCCACATATATTCTAGATACTAATCCCTTATTTAATAAATTATCTACTCCCTGTTATTTATGTTGTCTTCTGTTAAATATAAGTTTTAGATTCTAAAAGCTTAAATTTTTCATATTTAAGTCCTTAAGATAGCTAGAATTTACTTTTGTGTGTGGTATGGTAGGAATTTAATTTTATTCCATTCCACATAAAAATACAGTTTTCTAAAACCATTTATTAAATCTGTATCCTTTCCCACTGATTTGTATACTGCCATTTCCATCACATACCAATTTCCTGTATATGTCAGAATCTATTTCTGGCTTCCTTATTCATTTCGACTGAACAGGATTAAATATCCTTTTCTAATACCACACTTCTCAATTACTGCAGCCTTTCAATAGGTCTGGATAATTGATAGGGTAAACCCAACTACCAGATATTTTACTTCTCTTTGAAATTTTTATTACAATTTTTTCAATCTGCATAAAACTAAATGTCTTCATGGTAGTTTCAAGATTCTTATAAATTAAAGTCTGTCTAAAGAGAAGAAAAATTCTTTTGTACTTTCGGTACTTTCCCTTTCAGTTTAGTCCTTTAACGTTGAATTTGTGAACAGGTAAAGTCACTGGAAATAGTTCTTCAGTAAGCCTCTATCTATCAAATAACACTGAGAAGCTGATGGTTAAATGGATCAAAATCGTATAGGCAGCATATATAATTTTTCATTTAAATCTATGACATTTTCCTAGTGATTCTAAAGAAGATTTATAACAATTTAATTATAATCCAAAAAAGTACTAAGAATTTTACTTACAGATGCAATTGTAGCATCTTTTTCAGTAAGTTCCTGTTTGTGTCTAGCCATCATCTCTTTGATCTCCAGCTCTTTCATGATTTTCTCTTTTTCCAAATCAGAGTACTGTTCTTCAGCAATTGAACGAGCCAGCTGCTCAGAATCTGCTTTAGTCAAGGTGATCTCCAGTTGAGCAGCCAAAGAGTCCCTACATTTTAGAAATGTCTCATTTTAATGTTCAATTTTCATTATGAAGTCAAAGTTTGTATCTAATTCACCAACAAATTTTTATTCATCAACACATTTTTGTTTAGTAAATACCAGGCACTGTTCTAGGAGCAGAGTATATAGCTATGAACAAAAGACCAGGGTCTTGTCCTTACCTTTCATCCTGTAGTTCCTGTTTCTTTTGTTGTAATTCTTTACAAAGTTTGGTCTTTTCTTCACATTCTTCTTTAAGTTCCCGAACTTGTGTTTTATAGAGGGTCTAATTAACAAAAATAGAATAAAAATTTATAGCCTCACCATCAGGAGTATTATTTCTACATTCAAAACCTACTCAGACAAAAAGGGAAACATACAAATATTTTCTTAATATTGAGCTCAGAGTAAATTAATAGTTTAATGAGCTGTCCTATTTTCTGGTCATCAGCTGATTGATTAATAAATGTTCAGCTAATTTAGAAGCATGATTTACGACTGGCTATCATAGTGTTATTGAGATAGATAGGATGAATGAGGAGGCAAGGAAAAATATTACTAATTTAGACAAGAAAATTTTGTTGGCTTAAATCAATGAAACAGAGGTGACAGTTTCTACTACATACTTTAAAACTGATCTTTAAAAAGTACAAAGGTTAAAATGACAATTTTATTTATTGTGAAAATATACTCTTCCTCAAAAAGCAATGCTTTTAATCAGCTTCACAGGGTATGGTATGTGCTTAGGATTATTTTTCTAGCAACGATAATGGATTTTTGCTAAACGATCTAAATTCTTTTGCCAAGTTACTCTTTTTTAAGAGTTGCGTGATACAAAACATCCCATCCATAACTCTGTCTGGTGTTTGCTACACAGATATATTTTAAAGACAAGAATCATTCTCCTGGTTCTGAGTAAATATTAAAAAACAAAATTCTATAAATATAGCAATTTTCAAATGAATGTGTCTAAAACTTACTGAGAAATACTGTTCTGCTTCAAGCTGATCCTGGAGCTCTTTCATTTGCCCATCTGCATCTTGACGTTCTCTGGGAGGATATAAAATCAACGGTTTACATAAATTATACACATTTTAAACCAGCAAGTTTTGAGGTATGGTCTAGGGAACTCCTGGGAGTCCCTGAGGTCCTTTTAGGAAATCCATGAGGTCAAATCATTTTCATAATACTAAGCACCAATGCATTTTTTATTCTCATTGCCTCACTATTGTGTGTCTGGACTTTTCCTGCAGCTACATGACATACAATGGCTAATGAAGTGTGTGCTTGTGTGTGCATGTGTTTCAAAACTGTCTCAGTTTTAATTTTGAACACAACAGATATCATTAGATAAATCACATAAACAAGAACTCTTTGGAACCCTCAATAATTTTTAAGAATTTAAAGGTGGTCTGAGACCCAACAGTGTTATAGTAAACAACACTGAATTATGCATTCCCATACAGACACTGCTATCAACCACGTATGCCAACCACATAGCAGAATTCAAGGAGTACCTGAAATCTGGTTATCTTTGGGAGAGTGAAAGAAATGCCTGGGACAGGGCCCGAAGAGAGATCAGAAATGCTTGTTTTATATCTAAATCTGGATGGTGACTACACAGATTTACATACTTTGCAAAAATTCACCAAGCTCTACACTTATTTGCGTACTTTTTCCATATGTTTGTTAATCTTCAATAAAGAAATAAAGTAAAAATAAAATAAAAAGTGAGCCCAATAACCCATTTAAGAAGATGGGTTCAAATACTACATTAAATTCTAAACTCCTTGCAAAAACATAAAAATTAGTTTATTGCAAGCCAAAACGAAGGGGAAAAAAGAAGTTAGAAAACAATGTAACTTGTATGATATAATTAACAAATAAACAAAAACCAAAATAAAATGTACAAAAAACCAACCCTATATATTAATATATTTGTTCAGATATATAAGTACAGAAATAGGATAAAGGAGAGATAACAAACTGTTAAGATATGTTATCTATGCAGAGAGGAAAATGTCTGAATTCATGAAGAGGAACTTCTATTGTTTTCTTTCTTTATTTAAATATAGGTCTGAGTATTTTACAATGAGAGATATTTAGATACTACTTGGATACTTAAAAAACTGTACACAGCAAAAAAGATTCATGTCTTCAAAACAGTGTTGCAGAAAAAAATAAAAATTAAAAAAAAAAAAGACTTGGAGTAAATGACTTAATTCCACTATATTACTTAGGACACTTAGGGAATACCTATCTAACATAATTCAATCACTTTGTTTACTTACTGGCTCTTAAACCTCTGGATAAAAAGGAAGGTATGGCCAGGGCGCAGTGGCTCACACCTGTAATCCTAGCACTCTGGGAGGCCGAGGTGGGTGGATTGCTCAAGGTCAGGAGTTCGAGACCAGCCTGAGCAAGAGCAAGACCCCGTCTCTACTATAAATAGAAAGAAATTAATTGGCCAACTAATATATACAGAAAAAATAGCAGGGCATGGTGGCACATGCCTATAGTCCCAGCTACTTGGGAGGCTGAGGCAGAAGGAATGCTTGAGCCCAGGAGTTTGAGGTTGCTGTGAGCTAGGCTGACGCCATGGTACTCACTCTAGCCTGGGCAACAAAGCGAGTCTCAAAAAAAAAAAAAAGGAAGGTATGACTCAATGTCACTTATTGGTATTATTTCTGTATTTTATTTTTGATGAGTATATTATTGAGAATTCATGATTTTTATTTCTCTCTGAATCAAAATGTGACACTAATTAATAATACATGAAAAGTCAAGTTTTAAAACTGACCATCATCAGTTAAGCCCACTTGTAGCATACTCTAGTATAATTTTAATATCAAGATCTTCTTGAGAGCCCATATCATTCACTTATATGTAACTTTAGAAACCTTACATTTATTAGATATACAAGAGAAGTATTTTTTCAGAAAGTAACCATGTAATAGGCACATGGTTACAAATGAATAGTACAGAACAGCAGGAAGGACTTATTATACAAAAACCAAAACAGCCTCTTAATCTACTCCTCTCCACCCCCACCAATCCTACTCCTCTAGAAGATATCACTTTGTTTCATTTCTGGGATTTGTTCTTTTGGTGGTTACCTCTACATCTCAGCTATTCTTTGACACAAATTTTAGATTATCATTTACCAATTCCCTGCTGCAAGACTTGAATTTAGCTTTCTTGCCATCCCCGACCTCTCCCCAAACCCCAATATATTAATAGTTGTATATTGGTTTAAGTGACATGATTAAGCCTCTATTTCTCTTTACTTCAACCACAAAGCATAATACCCTCAGTTTGTTAGATGAGAACTCTAGCATTCCCATCCTTTGTGTTTGTTTTTAAAATTTCATGAGAACATGTCGAGATGTAGGTCTTTTTTCATTCAGTTGTTGGATCCTTTCAATCTAAAGCCTTTTCTCCTTCAGCTATGGGAAATTCTCTATTATCCCTTTAACAATTTCCTCCCCGTGGTTTTTAGTTGTCTCTGGAACTCTTATTAGCTGGGTGCTGGAACTCTTGGAACAGTCTCTCTGTGTCATACCTATTTCTTTTGCATCTTCTGTATCATTTCTTTTTGCTCTACGTTTTGTGAAATTTCACCTTTTTTTTTTTGAGTCCTTCTAATCAACTTATATTGGCAGTAATTTTTAATCTTTGAGAGCACTTTCCTATTCTGGAATAAGTGGAAGTGGTATCTCCTGAAATTTTTAATAACTATCAATTACAAGAGGATTTTTATAGTCTTCTGTTGTTACAGAACTTTTAGAAGTTCTCTTCTCCTTGATGTATGTTTTCTCTGGGGCACTTTTCCTTTTTTCTCTACCACAGTTTTCGTCTTTCATATTGAAGGCTTTCATGGTTAAATAAATACATGGTTATTTATTTAGAAAGGAGGTGGAAGAAATTTTAATCTCTATCCACATGGGAGGAGCTTTCTCACTGGCAAGCTTCAGTTTATGATGAGGCTTAAAAAGCCAGCATTAAGCAGAAGGATCCCTAAATGCCAGAGTGAAAAAGGCTTTTCACTCCATACTAGCTATTCTGTTATAATACTCCAGAGGTTGTGCCTTTAGTTTCTTTAGAGGAGAATGCTCTCAGAGGAACTCTAGTGGTCTATAAACAAATTTCAATGACCCCTATATGTTTTTCTAAGCCTCTCCCTCTCACGTTTTAGATTCTCAGGCCAGTAGGGCATGATGACCAGAATCCTAAAAATTTTAACTACTTGAACTTTCTAAATTGTTTCCTAGAAATGGCAGACTTTCTGCAAGACAAGGAAGTAAGACTGTGAAGCTCCTAGGCAGACTTCCTGATGCCAAGATTCGCCAACCCCCACAACCTGCCCCAAATGCAGGTAGACCCTTGTTAATTTCACCACAACCCATTCCAATGCACGTAGCCCCTCCTCATAAACTTCATATTGTTCCTTAGTTGGGGAGACAGATTTGAGGCTAAAGCTGATTCCCTGTTCTCCCGACACACATCTTTTGTATTAAAAAATTCCTTTCTTTCTTGGCAATCCTCGTGTCTCAATAATTGGATCTTTGTGCAGAGAGCAGCTGACCTAGGCCAAAACCCCCCAGTAGTGGGAAGTACCTGGCTACAGATATTTCTACAAGGGTGGCAAGTAGAGTATGACCAGTCGATTATTCCATTCACAGTGTCACATTTACTCCAGCCCTTCAAGGCATTTCCTTTGAATACTGAAATGTTTTTTTTCTTCACATATATCCCACTTCATATATACTCCTGGCCTTACACATACTCCTTGTTCCCTTCATTCCACTTCAATAGTCACAAGGATTCCATCATTTGCCATCAAAGGACCCTCTTGCCCTACAACCCATTCTCATTCTTGTTATGAGGTTCATATATTTTAAAAATTTCTTTACTAGAGTTTTGCTAGAATCTTAGAAGGAAGAAGAGATATATATGTTGGCCATTTTAAAAAGAAGCCTACATAGCACTTCATATGTAAATTCCCATTGTATGTATCTTTTTCTTTTTACCTTACATTCCAATTATTTATGTACCTGTCTTACCTCCTCCCCCCAATACATACCTTCTGATAAAACACTAGTAGCTTCTCCAGAGTAGGAAATGTACTTGATAAACCTTTCTATCTCCCACAGTGACTATTCCAATGCCTCACACATAACAGGGATGCATTCATTCATGCAACATTTACTGAAGATATTCTATGTGCAAGATCTTAATTAAGAATTGGAAAGAACAAAATATAAATGACTTTTGTCCTTCAGTGAATTTATAACCGATTAGGTGGTTGAGATAGAAAACACGGGTATCTTTGGGGAGGAGTGACTAGGAAAAAAGAGATTAAAAAACAAGACACCCATATGAACTTATAAAGAAAATAAGAGGTATATATACTAAGTAATATAAATAAGGTATACACAAAGTGTTATTAGAACTGGGGGAAAAGCACAATCTAGATGATTAACTACCTCTTGCATTCATATAAACACTATTGTTAGGACAGATACTATGGACAGCATTCAGTGAAGTAGTTTTAAACTATATTCCCTAGAGCCTAGGAATATAAGGAGGCTTAAGACGTTGACTGAAGTTAGGCCAATGAGTTTAATCCCAGGACTTGGGGTGCTTTCTGAACTTGGATTCCAGTAAAGTTCGATGATCAGAGTCTCTCCAAATAAACGAAGCTATAAGACATATCTCTAAAGCTGTCAATAGCCAAGTTTTCTGTTAAATGGAAAAAGCAGGCCTAAAATGAGAATAAACTTGATATACAGAAAAACAAAGCAAAACAAACAAACAAAAATCAAAGATGAAAATGTCTGAATATTGTTCTGATTTCTAGTTCTAATTTTATTTTATTATATTTTATTTTCAAAACAGGGTCTCACTTTGTCACCTGGGTTACAATGAAGTGGCATCATCATAGCTCACTACAACCTCAAACTCCTGGGCTCAAGTGAACCTCCCACCTCGGCCTCCCTGAATAGCTGGGACTGACTACAGATGTGCACCAACATTTTTATATTTTTTGCAGATATGGGAGTCTTGCTTTGTTTCCCAGGATGGGCTCAAGTGATCCTGGGCTCAAGTGATCCTCTTGCCTAGGCCTCCTGAAGTGCTGGGATTACACGTGTGGGCCACTAGACCTAGTCTCTAGTTCCAATTTTAAAAGTTGAAATCTCATTAAGAGTCTAGGCTTACTCTGGCAATAAACAGATCAGCAAAAAGAACAAAGTCTACTCAAATATTTTCACCATCCTTTCCTGGACAGTGTCAATTTTATGGATCTATCACAGGTATGTAAAAAGCAGGCAATTAACAATGATGAAAATAGTAGAGTAAAAAAAATAAAAATAAAATAAAAACTTCAAGATACAAAAAAAAAAGAAAAGAAAATAGTAGAATAATAGTCATAGTTGTAGTGGTAGTAACAGTAATAGTTGTAGTAGTAATAGTCCCTACCATTTATTGTGTGTTGGATGCTTTAAATAAATCATTGTTATCCTTTACGAGATCTTTAACAAGCAAGCTATTACTGCCCTCTTTCACAGGTGTGATAAAAGGCTCAGAGAGCTTAAAGTATTTTGCCAAATGTTGGTCAACTAGTAACCAATGGAACCGATATTCACACCTCAGTCTGTCTGGCTCCAGAGTCTATGTTTCTTTTCACTCTATCATACTGCCTCTCATCAAATAACTGGGATCCAAGATGACCTTTAGTCATGATTGGGAAGAAGTAATTGTACTACTAATAGAATGAGTGGGACAAACTTTATAACATATTCACTGTATATTTTTAAAGTATTTTAATATGCTTTCCACTTCCTAAGTACATTAAGTACAGCACTAAGTATATTCTACAAAATCATTACAAAAGGCACATGGACAATAGGCTTGAGAGGCAGTCCTGAAGAAGAATCTTATGGGGTGAAAATCACAGACATTTTCTTCTGCTACAGCATCAAAATACCTTCTCTATCATCATATTATCATAAAGTAGCAGCAGTGATAAACTGCTGGGGATAAAAATACAATCTTCTTTAAGGACAACAGTGGCCTTCAACACAATCCCTTTCTTACTTTTGCAGAAAGAAAGGAAAAATATGGTCAGCAGAGTAAAATGGTCAAAAGAAAAACCCAGAAACACTAAAATTAAGATAATTTACACATAGATAACTGTGCATATTAAAACTTTGTCTTAAACTTACTTTCGAAGTTCAGCGTTTTGTTTTTCCAAGTTCATTTTCATTTCCATGAGATGGTTATTCTCTTGTTTTAACTGCTTTTCTGACATTTTTAGTGAGTTAACTTGCTGTGTTTGCATCTTCAAGTCATTTTGTGTAAGGCAACGCTTCTGAGTTTCCTGCTCTATTTTTAATGTCAAGTTTCTAACCTAAAAAACAAATTGTGAACTTGGCATATTAGTAAATTATTTTGATTTTTATCAACAAAGTGGCATCAAATATGGTGATATAAAACAGATTCTTGCCCTTGGGAAGCTAATTCATTTCATAGTAAAATACTTTTTGTATTTCTAAGAATGTTATAAATATATCTTAAAAATAAAATATAATCTTTGCGGTAAAAATAACTTTTAAAAATTTAAAAGTATGACTCATTTAGCATATCATTAAAATTCAGTTTTTATAGAAAAAATTTTTAAATTATGAAGCCATCATTAGACCTTTACAAATAAACTTATTTTCCTATTAATTCATTAAATAGTTTATTACTATTAGTAAAATTCATACTTACATCCTCATTTAGCACATCTTTCTGTTTAAGGAGCTCGTTTGTTTTCTGTTGTGACTGCTTGAGGTCACAGTCTAATATGGAGCATCTTTTTTCAGCTTCTAGCAATAGATTCTCCACTTTCTGTTTTGAAGTCCTTTCCTCCAATAGCTTCTTCTCCATTTCTATTACAATAAAAATGGACATAATCATAAATTTACAAATAAAAGAAGCATATCAAATATATGACACAGTGCTAATAAAAATTACAATAAATGATGCTGTCTTATATTTTTATTTTAAATTAACATTTTTATCACTCCTCTCAACATATTTGAAATGTCAAGAATTTCACACTTGAAAATTAGGAGTTTTATTTGCAGTATAAAAATGTACTCTAAGCCGGGCAACAGAGTGAGACTCTGTCTCAAAAAAAAAAAGTATCACACTCTGCAATATGACATTTATTCCAATGGATGCAAGATAATCCTTCTTTTGTGTTCTATAATAGATGCTTACATCTTTAAAGATTTTTAAAAAATTTTTCCCACAATTCAATGTCTCTCAGTTTAGTAATTACTAATTTACCTTAAAACAATACAGGTAGATTCTATGACCTCCACGGTTCTTTCCCTACTAACATATTATTATGCAAATATTGAACATTACCTTTTAGGGAGATAGTGAAGGTCAGGACTATGGAACCAAACTTCTTGAGCTTAAATCCTGGCTCTCACACTAATTATTTGACCAGGCAAGGTGATTAATCTCTCTGGGCCTCAGTTTCCTCACCTCTGAAACAGGGACAATAGCACCTACCCTTCCAGGGATGTTACGAAGATTTTGAGTTAATACACGTGTAGCACTTAAAAAGAATTTTTAATAACCTAAGAAAATGCTCACAATGATTTTAAAAGAAAAAAAAAAAACAGCATAGAAAATTGAGGCTGGGTGCGGTGGCTCACGCCTGTAATCCTAGCACTCTGGGAGGCCGAGGCGGGCAGATTGCTTGAGGTCAGGAGTTCGAAACCAGTCTGATCAAGATCGAGACCCTGTCTCTACTAACAATAGAAAGAAATTAACTGGCCAACTAATATATACAGAAAAAATTAGCCAGGCATGGTGGCACATGCCTGTAGTCCTAGCTACTCGGGAGGCTGAGGCAGAAGGATTGCCTGAGCCTAGGAGTTTGAGGTTGCTGTGAGCTAGGCTGATACCACACACAGCACTCACTCTAGCCTGGGCAACAAAGCTAGACTCTGTCTCAAAAAAAAAAAGAGAAAATATACAAAATATTACCCTAATTAGTAGGATTAGTAGATTTTTTCTTTTAACTTTCCTTTATTTTCTAAATGATTTGCAATAAATTTTTAATCTGTTTTATTAATCAGGAAAGGCTTTTAAAAGCTTCTTCCATCTTGAAGAGCAGAAAAAGTTTGTCTAACCAAGTGATTTCAACACTGAATGTAAGTTATTACAGTTAAAGGATTATCTTTTGAAATATTGACTAGTACTTCAGTTCAAATCCAACTAGAGATTTTCTGCTCCTTAATACCTAATGCTCAACATCTAATTATCATTTATTAAAAAATTTTACTTTCTAATAATTTTCAAAAGTATAAAAAAAGAAACATTTTTCATGTACTACTAATAGCTAGCATTTCTAAGCAGTGTATATGTGTTATTACACTTGATTTTCACATCACTCTAACAATACTATAATTGTTCCTTTACAGAAACCAGGCACAGAAAGTTTAGGTAACTAGACAAGGTCATAAAGCTAGTAATTATTTGGTAAGCTATATTTTTAATCCAAGGAAACAATGACACGTGGCAGAAAGACCAAAAGGTTTCGGCCAGCGGTCCTCAAACTTTTTAAACGGGGGGCCAGTTCACTGTCCCTCAGACAGCTGAAGGGCTGGACTATAGTTTAAAAAAACTATGAACAAATTCCTATGCACACTGCACATATCTTATTTTGAAGTAAAAAAACAAACATGCAAAACCACCCACATGTGGCCCACAGGCCATAGTTTGAGGACACCTGGTTTAGGCTCCGATTTGAATATCATCTATAATATTGAACAGTTTTGTGTACTCATGTGTAAAATATGGAAGTCATCCGGCATTCTTGTATTAGTGTTGTAAGTAACAGTATGAAAAAATGGTAGTTATATTATACTGAACTGGTTCATTTTCATCAGTTCAGAGAATAACCAATGAATGAATGTACTCATTTTAAAAAATAATAATCGCGATGTAGGCATTGAGAATAGAAAGAGACACAAAGGAATTTACTGACGTGATGGAAATATTCTTTATCTTTTTTAGGTGGTAGTTATGTGAGTGTATCACAAATGTCAAAAATATTTACATTTTATTGCATATGAATTATACCTCAATGAAGATAATTTAACTGTCTTCTAGGCCACAGACAAGGAAATGTGACCCAATAAACTTCCTCCCTCCCAATTAGACTTTTCTAAATAAAACACTCATTTCATTTCTTCTTATCCTGAATTAGTGCCTTAAACTAACCTGATTTTAATATGAAAATCTATAATTTTAATTATATGCAATAAGTAAAGGCAATTTATGTGTGAAATTACTTATTCATAAAGGTTATGCTTCAATATGAAATGAAATTTCTTTTCAAGAGTTTTAAGACTTGGGCTGGGTGCGGTGGCTCACACCTGTAATCCTAGCACTCTGGGAGACCGAGGCGGGTGGAATGCTCAAGGTCAAGAGTTCGAAACCAGCCAGAGCAGAAGTGAGACCCTGTCTCTACTGAAAAAATAGAAAGAAATTAATTGGCCAACTAAAAATATATAGAAAAAAATTAGCTGAGTATGGTGGTGCATGCTTGTAGTCCCAGCTACTCTAGAGGCTGAGGCAAAAGGACTGCTTGAGCCCAAGAGTTTGAGGTTGCTATGAGCTAGGTTTGACGCCATGGCACTCTAGCCAGGGCAACAGAGTGAGACTCTGTCTCAAGAAAAAAAAAAAAAAAGAGTTTTAAGACTTGCACAAGAATACTTTACTTGATTTCCTTTGGAATTTCAAATCCATCATAATTATAAATAGTTTGGAAAACAAGAAATTATCCTAAGACAATTCCAGAATAAAGTATGGTTTATAGAAAAGTTAACTGTTCTATTAGTATTATGCAGCTTTTACCAATCTGGCTAGTAACTTCATGAAGACAGAGATCAAAATATTTAGTGACCTTATATTTTAGTTAGGCTATTATTTTTAAATCTTTATCTTGCATAAACTGGCAAGAATTTTGTAATATAATCTGGTAAATTATCAAACCATAATAGATATTACAAAAAAGAATATATTCCTCAAATCTGAGTATGTATACCTAGAACTTCACAGTCTATATACCTGTTAATATTGATATCACTGAAATATTAATTTCTTTCTGATCTAAAAACTTGGTCAAATTATTTTATGTTTGAGCCTATCTTAGAAATAATTGTTGTAATGATGCAAAGGGAAAAAAAAAACACGTAAAGCTTCTCTAATAGTTTTTTCCCCTCCAGTTCCTAATATTTGGCAATAAAATAAATTTTTTTTTAAATCAAAGAGTTGAAGACAGAATCACTTCTTAGGAAAATGCTGCTGGAAAATCCTCTTTTAAAAATGCATACCTTTCATGGCTTCTGATTTAGCTTCTTCAATGGATTCATAGATCTTATTTTTATCTGCTAGCCGTGCCTTTGTGGCTTTGTGTTCAGCTTCCTCTTGTTCTAAGCTCTGCTGTATAACTTTTAGTTGGTATGTCATATCTATTTCCATGTTGCTCTTTTCCTATTAGAAATTTAAGATGGCAGTTAACAAAAAAGGCTGACTCAGAATTTCAAAAACTTTCAAAATTAACAGACTTATTAAGAATGTTCAGTATTTCCCCTCCCCTCTTCATCCAAACTTCTTTTAATAGTAATCTGTGTACTCCACTTCCTCATTTCCCACTGTAACCATCTTCCACACCTCCAGCCCACTGTTTTGAGATCTGTATTCAGATCACTTAAGCTCAATAAATTGACCAATGCTATTCTCAATATCAAATTCTAAAGACACTATTCAGTCTTTATCTTATTTGAACTAACTGCTGCCCTTGAAACTATCCCTTGACACTCCTGACATTGTACTTACTTGGTTCTCTCCATCTTGCCTGCATCTGTCCTGTTACTTCTGAAGTTTCCCCATTTAAATGCTGGTATTCTTTGGAGGTGTTATTTTTTATCCCCTCTTCCTATTTTCTAGACATACACCACAGATTTTGTAGTTCTTTAATTTCTATAGTTCATATCATAAATACAATACAGGTATATTTTCAAATAAAATCTTTAATACTAAAAATGATTTTTCAAGCCACACAATCCATCAAGACAGTAATCTACTCTGCTGTAAAAAAAAAAAAAAAAAAATAACTACTCTACATAATCTCTTCCCATATGAGTTACTGCACTCAGATGCTTTCAGCTACTTACATACTGATGACTCTCAAATATTTCTAGCTCCCACTACCATAGCTGACTGCCTTGTAGACATTCTAATCTGGCTGTCCCACAGTCACCTGAACCTTAAGAGGACTATTGATTTATCATTGTCTCCTCTAAATGAGCCATTTTCCTTTATTCTTTATTAATCAATGGCATCACTATATATCTAGTCACAACCTACAAACTTGGGACTCATCTTGACTACTATTCGCATGCTACATCTAATCAATTACTAAGTGCTGCCAAATATTCCTCTCCCCAATATTTCTCAAAGTCATCCCTATATTCTATCCTTTTGGCTACTGCACTAATTAAGTCTCCATTACTGAAAAAGTCTTCTGACTAGTCTCCCTGCCTCTAGCCTTGTCTTTCTCTCAAAGCTATTCACCACATAACACACACTGATCAATCTTAAATGTACCTGTAATAAGAGCATCCAATATGAAAGTCGTTAAGTGGCTGGCCCATTACTTAGAGACTATATTCTAAATTCCTTAATAGAGTATTCAAAATCTTGCATGATCTAGTTCAAGCCCTATCCCTGTAGCTTTTCTCCACATCTTCCGGACAATTTCGATCCAGTATCTTTTTTTAAGTTGCATTGGAACATAGCCACACCCATGCCTTTATGAATCACAGCAGAGCTGAGTGGTTCCAACAGAGACTATAGTATAGACTATAGTATAGACTATGTATGGACCACAAAAGCCAAAATATTTACTATCTTGCCCTAAAAAAAGTAAAGTTTGCTGACCTCTATTCTACATTCCAGAAATATTGAATAGTTTGTACTTTAACAAGCAAACAATGCCTTTTAAAATTTCTATCCTCTGTGCCTTTGTTCATGCTATCTTCCTCAACTCAGAATGCGCCTTTACTTTGCAACGCTATCCTGCCCTGGATTCATCCTATACACCTAATATATACACCCTGTCTATACTTCTATCATTCTATTGACACTACTGCATTAGATTTATCTGTGTGCTTTATTATTACTTTAAAAATTACCTATTAAAGGTGACATTATTCAAGTCAAGGTCTACATCCTGATATTTCTACCACATGATACACTAAATATTTAAAGAAATGAAGGAATTAGTGAATGAAAATAAAATGCTAACTGCAGAGATGCTAGAAATCACCCCTGGCCTATAGTATTTTTAAAGAAAAACTAAATGCCAAAAGTCATGATGACTATATATTATATCATTTTTAACATATGTTACAAGTCAAAATTTAATTTTAACTTAGATCCCTAGAGAGAAGATCCTTGTTACACACACTCCAGGAGAGTCCCTTCCTCCACAAGCACCCAGCATACTGAGGGCTGCTGTATGGTGCTATGCGAAGCCTTAAAACACATAGCCCTTGTCTACACAAGCAAGTCTCAATATGAAAGAGTTCAGGAGTACATGGAAATATTCCAGTTAATGACTTCCTTTATTTTAGAATAACTTTTCTGACACTGTACTGTCATTTTCTTACAAAAAAATATAAAGCTAATATTTTACCTTTTCCAAATCAGTAAATCTCTCCTGTAGTTGTCTCTTCTCCAGCTCTAATTTTGCTAGTAAGATTTTGCCATTCTTTAAATCTTCTTCTAGGCCAGATATTCTACCTAAAAATTACAACATTATTTTAAACCATAAACCCATAAAGTATATACATTCAATAAGAGTAAAAAATATGGAAGCCACATCATATTCTAGAGCTGTTATTTGTGAGCAGGAGTTTTACACTTGCTGGTATTGTGCTCTACAGTTAATTTAAGTGGAACCCAATCTACCACCTGAGGAGTTTGATGCTTAAAATCATAGTATTTGAAACTAAATATTTTGTTCCTAAAATTTTATATCAACATATTTCTAATATTCCAACTTTACATAACGAGTAGTATATACAGAAACGTGCTACTCCAGCATATTACCTATCATCTAAAGCTATTTCCAATTACAAATGAAGATTAATTAAAGTGCAATCACCATTTTAATACCTTGTAAATCATTAATTATCTCTGATCCGTGGGTTCGGTCTCTTCTTTCAGATTCCAGAGCTGACTGAAGATTAATAAATTCCTTTTCAAGTTTTAACTTGGCAGTCTCCAGCAGGCAGTTTTTATCTTGAAGATCTCTATTATTAGATTCCAGCTGCTGAATCTGTTTTGAACTTTCTGCTTGGGTTTTTCTTAACCGGGATGCAGTATCAGATTCTGTACGCAGCAAAGCATTGGTTTCATCCAGCTGTTATTCCAATTAAAAATCAAACAAACAACAGAGGTGTACATAATGAAAATACATCAACTTATTACCCATTACAAACTATTTAAAATAAATAAATGATTAAAAATATTCTCCCAAGGAATTTCCTCTAATATTAGAGGTCTTTTGCAACATTGCCAATTAAAACTAACGTTAAAAGACAGTCATAAATAAAACTTTATATCTTTATTGCAAATTGAGATCAACATACTTGTCTCTGGAGTTCATTCACTTTCTCAGTGGATATTTGAGAGTTTTGATTTCTTTTTTTCAAATCTTCAAGTTGATCTTTTAAACTGTTAACTATGATAAAAAGCATTTTAGTGCAAGCTTCAACACAACATAGATACATTTAATATTTTTCTTGAAAAGCATTTAATATTCTACACCACAAACCATCATTTTCCAAATTTCGTTTCTTGTCTGCTTCATGATCAGCTTTCCGTTGATATTCTGCATTTTTGTGCTGGAGAAGTGCCTTTTCTCTTTCTAATTGTCGCAAGGCTGATTCCACATTTTTCCTTAAGGTAATCTGAAAAAATGCTTACAGTTATTATCAAAAAGTATGTATAAAAATCAAATTAAACAAAAAATACTTCCAATAGAAAAAAGGACCTTAAAAAAGCTATTTTTAAAACATTTTGTTAAAACTGTGTTTTCCATGTTTATAAAAAACACTAACCTTAAAAAAATCAAAACCATAAATGTTTTGTTTACTATTGAAAGCCAAACTTTCTGTAACTTTCCATCCTACTTCAGTATGTGTCTAAAATGTTATGAATAGCAATTAAAAAAAACAAAACAAAACAAACAATGGTCACTCTGTTTTTAAACCATATCATTAACTACACTATAAATGCAATTTTTTTAGTTGAAATATCTATACATACTAAATTAACTGAAGTTTGCAAAAACATTAATAGAATAAAGCCTACTATAACATAGTTATCCTATAATTTTAGTCCTGTCCACCAATGCTATAAGGTAGGTTTTACTGCATATCAAGATATGAGTATGTATTATCATGGTACTAAAAAGAATTCTATAGGTAAATCAGACATCAAAGACTTTTACTAACAAAAACGTTAACAGTGTAGGGCAACTGTACCTCTTCTTCTAGCTCCTTTGCTGTTTTCTCTAGGCGAATATTAACAGATCTAAAGAATTTCAAAAAGAACCAGTAAATAAAGTAACTCTCCTAATTTATAATTTAAAGTCTATAAATTTAAAAATTATATAATTATTTTATAGCTCTCCTTTTGTAGTAAAATGTTTAAGCTTAAATTTTATAATATAATTATAAAATATATAAAATTATTAATAATTTCCAAAACATACTTGCATTTCTGCTCTAATTCCTCTTTGGCTTGTATCTCATTGCTAAGATGTTCTTCTAATGTATACAGTTTTTTCTGAATCTGTCAAAACATGAAAAACTATAATTATGAATTTTGGCCATATTTGAAGATGAGAGGGTTAAAGAAAACAATGATAAGCTTATTTTGTCTTTCCACTCCACATAATGTCCTCTGTAATGGTACAGTATTTGTACCTTATTGCAACTTTTATTGATAGAAAAACTTCCCCATGTCTTGCTTTTACTCTATCACTGTATACATGTATGAACACACTTATGTAAACATGCATGAGAAGCTCTAACTTTGGCAAAATTTGTCTACGATAGCAAGTTTTAAATTCATTAGAAATAAAGGGTACCATTTCTGGTATCTTCTACTGCTCTTCTATAAATTATTTCTTTGAAAATATTTTTACCATTTGTGCTAATAAGATAAAGATGAAAGGTCTACATCTGAAATGAATATTCAGAACATTAAAATGAATATGCTCAAAAATATATTACTATTCTTAAAGCTATGTTGACCTTTAAATAAACTTAAATTACAGAAACTATTAAATAATCCATTTTTGGAACATTATTTCCTTTTTAAAGAATTTAACTTGTTGAGTTCCTGCATTGCCTTAGATACAGTGTCACGTACTTTATAAACATTGTCTCATCAATCCTCACAAAAACCCTAAAATGATGGTAGCATTATATCTACTTGATAAACTGAAATTCAAAAAAAGCGAATAACTAGGCCAAGACAGCATTGCTAATAAGTGGTAGTGCCAAAACTCCAATGCAGGTCTAGAGACTCCAAAAACTCTATTTTCCCATAATAAGAATATGCAGGCTAGTGAACTAGTCAAGTTTAACTGCTATTGGCTGCTACTACATTAGTATAATTTGAGCACACTGGTTATCACATGTTAATATGTTCCTACTACCAGTTATATATCCTTAATAAATACAAACTAGAAAATTATAAAATATATATTTTAAACAACAGATCCATAGAAGCAATAATAAAAGGGATACTTGGTAGAAAAAAGGATGAGAACGTCTCTTTTGGGTAGATGTAGTACTCCAAATGCTGGGTGGGATACAACTATATTAAAACACTGCTAGAGTGATGAGTTTTTCTCAGTTTTTCAATATATTTGACAGTATCAACGTACCTCTTGACTCTCCTATTTGAAACAAAACAAAAACACAAAAAACATGAAAATGCTTGTTATGCCTTGCAAAATTCACAAATTATACCAAAATTATCCAACCTACTTTTTTAGTTTTCATAAGTGTGAAGAAAATCTGTTTAGTATATCATTTATGTGTATGTATATGTGTGTATATGATTTAGCTTTGTATACAGTTACAAATGATAAAGGTCACAAAATATTTTAACAGTTTGATAAAATTATCCTTTATATAAATTCATTCCTAAATACTCAGAATTTCCATTTCTTCCTTACTTCCTTATCTTATAGCTTATTATCTATACTTTTTCACAGCACTAAGATCATAACATTTTCTAACTGGTGTTATAGCTATTTATAAACCTATTATATCATTTTGGCCACTAACCTAAGCCTAAAGCCATGTATAATTCATTTTAGTAGCCATCATGTCTTGAATAATGATACTGTTCACATAAATGAATCATTTCAATGTTATGCTAACTGGTATTGCACAAGTAATGCCATCTCATGATTTAAAAAGTAGCCTCAAATTACTTTTTAAAAGCATGGGTATTACTAAAATATCTGAACATGTGACTAAAATAGAATAGTAAAAATCTATACATACTTCATTTTTCCTTGATTGTACTGAATCATTTTCTCTACAAGATGGAGAGTCACTTAATAACCTAGAGAAGGGGAGAAAATAAATTCTTTTGCATTTAATCCATTTTCTGTCTTATTCAACCAAGTTAGCCTCAGAATTAAACATTAACTACAAAGATTTCTCTTACTTTTCCCTTCAACATATGATTTTAAATGAAGCAATATTTTCCCCTCCAGACATTCATATCATTTTCAGCAATTTAAAATGCTAAACTTTTCTTGCCTTATTGAATGACCTAGTCTTTAACATTTTTGGAAGTAGACTTACTAAATGAAACTATGTATGTCCTTCCTTTTCATCTCATTTAAGTTTCTACAGCTATTTTATCCTTCTTCTACTCTATCTTCTAGAAAAAGATTTTGCTCCTCCTTTTGAAAGATAACAGCTCTTCATTTCCCAGTCTTAATATATAAATCATCACTTCTATTTTACTGTCAATTTCTCCCTCTCAACTGGGTCCTTCTCTGCTGTCTATAAACAGGCTTGGGTTTCTTCTGGAACTGATATCCTCATTTTGGTCAATATTACAGAAGTTTTTAGAACCTTATCATTAGTAGGGTGACCAACTCACCCTGCCTGTGATTTTCCTGGTTTTAATATGAAAGTCCCAAGCCACATCTTGGGAAATCTCTCAGTCCTAGGGAAATTATAATGGTCGGTCACTCTGATCATTGCATATATGGATGTATCAAAAGCTTATCAAATATGTTTCTCAAATGTCTTTAATGCCTCACTCAACTATTTTAACAGTTTTCAGTGGTCCCTCATTGCCTGTCTGTCAAATGTCCCTTAGCAGAGCACACAACAATCATCTGCTGCATTGTTCTTTCCCTAAATCCAACTCTAATATCTATCTATCTATCTATCTATCTATCTATCTATCTATCTATCTATCTATCTATCTATCTATCTATCTATCTATCCATCCATCCATCCATCCATCCATCCATCCATCCATCCATCCATCCATCCATTTTTTTTTTTAAGACAGAGTCTCACTCTGTTGCCCTGGCTAGAGTACTGTGCCATCAGCCTAGTTCACAGCAACCTCAAACTCCTGGGCTCAAGCAGTCCTTCTACCTCAGCCTCCCAAGCAGCTGGGACTACAGGCATGCGCCACCATGCCCAGCTAATTTTTTCTATATATTTTTAGTTGGCCAATTAATTTCTTTCTATTTTTAGTAGAGATGGGGTCTTGCTCTTGCTCAGGCTGGTCTCGAACTCCTGACCTTGAGTGATCCTCCTGCCTGGGCCTCCCAGAGTGCTAGGATTACAGGCGTAAGCCAGTGCGCCTGGCCCCAACTCCAATATATTTTCTAATCCTATGTTCAGTATTCACTTTAGTCAAACAATTTTTATTGACTGACTTTGTTCCAGCCTTGGTGCTAGATGCAGAGATTATAAGCAAGAAAATCACAGTCTCATCAAGTCCTCTGAACAGTCATAATACAGTAGCACATTCCCTATGTTTGAGCCCTACTAGACTAAAACCATTGGTGTAGTCTGCTCTCACGTACGCTTACATTCCAAACTGTTGCTTCCCCACTATTTACCTCCTCAGTCTCAGTCACTCAAAAGCCTTTCTGATCATTAGGCTCGGCTAAAATGCCACCTCTTCCCTGAGGTCTTACTTGACTTCTCCCTGCTCCCACCCAGAAGAGATATAACTTTCATTTTTCTTCCAAACCATCTCAGATTCTCTTGGCATCTTTCTTAAGGCAACTGTCACATTTTACCCTTTGTTATGACTAAATAATTCTCTTATATCCTTCATGATGACATGACAAGCTCCTTGAGAAGCAAGTATTTGTTCTTACTCTATATCCCCCAAAGAATATAGAACAGTGTCTTGCAATCATGTATAAATGAATATAATATTGAGAAATAAAATGAAAATTAAAAATAATTCTTCTAATAGTCCTTTTGAAAAAACAATATTTTATCTTTTATAACTGAGTCTCAAAATAAGACACATCTTATAGCTAGATCCCGAAACAATGAAATTTAACAAATAAATCACATACAAATTTTCTCTGTAATAGGTAAATCCTATAAAAGGCAGCTGATTTCCCACAAAAGCTTTAGGAATTGGGAAGGTTTCTACATCTCCTTTATCATCTTCAATGTCATCAAAATTGCTGCTGTCTATGTCACTGCTGAGTTCAGGTACTACAGGAGCTGCCGCTATTAAAAGAAAAGAAATAAATTATTTCATTCATAACCAACATGTAAGATATACGCCACCTACCTATTTTAATCATAATAGATTAATATATTATGATTACATCATTAGGATTTGTTACATAGTATTTTAGCAACATATCTCACATTTTATGATTTCACAGAATTAAAATTTTGTAAGTAATTTATTGCCATACTAGATCGGTTTTAAATATAGATTAATCAATTAAACAAGGAAAGCAATATGATATTATTCTAGGTGTTAAAAATTACAAGCAGCAATAACTTGCACATAATTCTTAAGTCCTCAGTTTCCCCATTTTTAAAATAAAAATATTCCTTACCCTTAAAATAAATAAATGTCACATATACATAGACTAAAAATGAATTACCATGCTTATCTTAGTATTAATATTTACAGTATGGTTTCAATAAATAATTAATTGCTGATTTATCAATTCAAACATATTCAATTTAAAGGATTACATTCTCTCCATTCTGAAAATGATTGTCATATACAAAACTTAACTTGGCAAATTAAGAAATATATAATGTCTGTTATAAAAGTATTAAGTAATATAGCTAATATATATACATTGATATACTAAGATATTGAGAAAATATTTAGTTATAAATATTGTCACAGAACAAACTTGAAATGAAATATCTTAATTTAAAAATGAGTTAGCAGTAAGTTCATCAAACATGTTTGTTATTTCTAAAAAGGAACCAATTTATGAGATATAAAATGTGATGGAATGGAAATATTTAGATTTATTAACTTACTCTCTCTTATGTTATCCCAATTCCATTGATCATTCTTAAAGAAAGGATGCTGTTTGATTTCTTCTACCCCGTTTCTCCCAAGTCGTACCTCCCTAAACAATGCAGTTAGAGATTGTATTATAAAAATGATAAAAAAGTTAACTCTTAATAAGTTTAATCAAAATGAAGATCATAATCAATGAGATATTTTCATGAAAAGCTTCAGCTTAAATGTTTCTCAAAACTAAGCAATCCCAATTTTATAGTATGATCTCTCTAGACAGACTGTGATAAAATGTCATGGAAAAGTGAAATATGTTTACACTTGTATTTTGCATCAAAGTACACAGGGAATTTCAAGTAAAAAAAACTCACCTCTATGTGCCAAAATCACATGACCCTCTAACTTCAGGATGTGAAAAGTTTAGATATAGGTCTACACTTTTGTTATAGAAGAGTTACTCAAAACCTCCCTAAGATAAATATTTTAAAAATCTCTCCCCTTCTATAAAGAACTCATTGTAGGCTGGGCATGGTGGCTCATGCCTGTAATCCTAGCACTTTGGGAGGCCAAGGTGGGAGGAATGCTTGAGGCCAGGAGTTAAAGACCAGCCTGGACAACATAGCCAGACCCCATGTCTACAAAAAATACCAAAATTAGCCAGGCACAGTGATATGTGCCTACAGTCCCAGCTACTCAGGAGGCTGAGGCAAGAGGAATGCTTGAGCCCAGAAGTTTGAGGTTGCAGTGAGCTGCAACAATTCCATTGTACTCTAGCCCGGGCAACATAGCAAGACCCCATCTCCAAAAAAAAAAAAAAGCTCATGTATTACGTTTGGAGCTATCCATATATTACTCTGATAAATTCTATCCCATTTATATAACATATAAATATAACATTTATATTAAAGTTATAATTCTGAATACAAGAAAAATGTTACTAGGAATTTCATTCTCTGACCATCTGAGTCTTCAGTGAAGATGGCCTGGGAAAAGAGAGCATCTGTTTTATGTTGAACATAGATAGCCTCTGGAACTATGTTCAATATAAATAGGAAAACCTGCAGACTTTAAAAATTGCTAAAACAAACCTTTCATAAATAGTATTCCTTTCATTAACATATGGTGGTATCCTGCTTTATAATTTATCATTCAGCACAAATTACCATCACCCCTCTGCCAATCACATTTAGTGCCCATATCAAACACTGTACAGGCTATGCTATTCTTTGTCTGCTCTAGAAAGAGACATCTCTTCTCCTTTTCAAAGATAACATCTCTTGATCCCCAAATCTTAATATAGAAATCATCACTTCCATTTTACTTTGAGTTTAACAGCACTGACTGCTCGTTAACCATGTAATTAATAAGTTTGTTTGTTGTTTGTTTTGAGACAGGGTCTCACTCTGTTGCCCAGGATAGAGTGTATTAGTAGCAGCATAATCATAGCTCACAGCAACCTCAAATTCCTGAGCTCAAGCAATCCTTCTGCCTCAGCCTCCCAAGTAGCTGGGACTACAAGTACACACCACCCTGTCCAGCATTTTTTGTGTGTGTGTGGAGAGGAGGTCCCATTATATTGCTCAGGCTGGTCTCAAACTCTTGTCCTCAAGCGATCCTCTCATCTCAGCCTCCCAAAGTGCTGGGATTTACAGGTGTGCACCAACTCACCTGGCATAATTAATGAATCTTAAAGTTTTACTCTACAAATGATTGATAAACACATCCTCTCTGATGGGGAAAAAAAAAACTTTTCTTGCCTCTAATGAAAAAAAGAAAGAATGTTTTATAATATATAGTTTGATGTGGGGGAAACAATTATTGTCAATGGATATAGATATTGATGTAACTCCTCTGGGAGTCAATTTTATAAAATCGCTCAATTTTAAAATATGTATCTCACAATTCCACCTTTAAGATTTTATCCTGTAAAAAGTATGCAAAGATGAATATATGAGGAGAATCACCGCAGTACTGTTTGTAACAGCAACAAGCTTAACAAACAAGAAGGTATGCTGAGGAATTACAGCATCTAATAGCTAGAAATGTCCTTAGTTATCTATTTTGAGCCCACTGTTTACAGATGAGTAAAATTATTTCCCCCCAAAATAAAATAATTTCCCAAGGTCACAAAGCTGATGAGTAAAAGTTTGGACTGGGGCACAAGCACCCTCTTGCATGTGTTGATCTTTTGACAAGATGATTCATATCAAAAATATAAAATGGGACATCAGAAAAAAAAATTGAATAGAAAGACCAACAAAGAAAAATCAAATAGCTTTACACCTTTATCTATATTACAACTTTATCTATTTCATTTTTTAAAATATAGAATTTCCAAGATAGATTTGCTCATATTCAAATGCAAATAAAAAAGGGTTGGGAAGGAGGTACTCCCAAATCAAACATAGTATTAAAGACTATAACCTGTTGTATACTTATCTACACAAAATGCTCTCCTCTCAAAAGCTGTACCATCAAGAGTTACATGGATTTACCATCTGAGAGGGTAAAATGTCAATAATACAAAAGTTTTATTTCTTTCAAACGATTATTCTACCAAGTTCTATTTTTTCTTTTTAGACATGGGGGTTAAGGTTAGAGTTAAATTTATAATTGGGCTGTAAACAAAAAATGAGGAGGGCAAACCAATACCAGGCTTAGCAATAGGAAAAGGCTAATCCAAAATTAAATGCAACTTTGATAATGAGAGAAAGAGAATCATTTCATATGTAAATAAGTTAGGTATGCTTTTATTTCTACAAATTTACATGTAAAAGGGCTTCTCTAAAAAGAAATTCAATGTACATTACCTATCTGTTAAGAAGGCACAGATGAGATTCTTCGCATGTTTAGAAATTTCTGCATCTTCAGGGAAACACAGTGAATTTTTATGATCCATAATTTTGCTATATGTTCCTACAAGTGAATCTGCATAAAAGGGAGTATCCCCTAAAAGTTCAAGAAAGAAGATACTGAGAGAATGCAAATTAAGCACTTTTCATATAATATTTAAATATGAAATAATTTACTGAATAGTTCAAGAGAAAGATTTAATAAGTAGAGTCAGATCAGTCAGAGTTCTTTAATACTTGAGCTGGACCCGCATTTTGAAATTACTCTTGAGAGTTGTGTTATACAACACAGTTGCCATCAGCCATATGTGGCAATTTAAAGTGAAATTAAATTAAATGAAAAAATGCAGTTCCCTAGTTTTATTATCACATTGTAAGTGATCGATGTGGCCAGTGGCTATCACACTGAACAACAACACAGATATAAATCATTTCCATCATGACAGACTGGGTGGTGCTACTCTAAGAGTTAGACCTGCTGTATTATCTTACATAGGAGGAACCAGGGCCCAGAGAAGTAACAAGGGACTTAAGATGATAAACATCTAGAATTCAAAAGGGCAGAAATGGCCTCCCAAAGCAGTGTTCCTACAGGTTAATGACTGTGATAAACAGGCACTCAAGCAAGTGTAAAGATAGAAAAAGCCAAAGGCACCATTTTGGCCAGTATTCATCTAAAGCCATAAGGGTTAAAGGTCCTGCCAGTATGCCTATACCATAAGTAATTTAATGAAAACCAGACTCCCAAATCAGCAAATCCAAAATGTCAAAAGGGGTATTCAGGTAGTTATTTTTTGTTTGCTTTCAAAGGGGGTTTGAGGGTGAAGGAAGGCTTTGAATTCAAGATTGTCCTAGTGCCATTTTTAACTGAGAACCTTTAAATGCACTCTAGTGCCAACCAACCTGAGCAAGCACACTATAGTGTCAGAACACTGCAAATCATTGCCATTTGAACTCTAAATTCAGTTCTCAAAGTTAAAAACAGCAGTAGGAATTCAAATAGTCTTTTCAAATGAGCCAACCTGCTTCCTCCAAAGTACCTTATTTTCGAAATAATTTTCCCTAGAAGGAAAGTCTAAGCAAATAACACAATATACTCTCCTTTCAAAATATCACAAGATACAACCTAATGCTTCATCAAGTCAGGGCAGAGATGGGACAACAGACAGCTACCTGGAACCAAATGGTATATACAAAGAGACTCACTACAAAGACAAAGGTACAAAACAAAGCATTTGTTTCAGGTGAAACAAAGTTTCAGGTCATACCAAGACCTGAAACTAAGCACAACAAGATAAATGCACAGGATGGTCATCAAGAGAAGGGAATTTAAGCCACAAAAAAGTTCCATACTAATTATTATTTCAATTCAGAATTTACCAAAAATTTCTGAATTTTTAGCAATAATCACACAGATTCTATACTACCAATTTCTTTTGGGGTCATCTTCTAGAAAATAAATTCCTTAACTCCAAAAATATATTTTCAAATCTAAAGCCATTCTATATAATCTTATCAGCCATATTACACGAGCCTTAGAAAGTAGATTTAGCTACATTTTTCTCCTCTCATCCCCATTCCATATAATTCAGTCATTGGCTTCCTTAGCCAGAAGATATTTTTGTGACCTAGTATTTTGGAATGGGAAAGCTAAGGAATAAAATCTATCATGTAAAGAAAGTTTGAAATACTTCAGTCTTTCAAATTTTGATGGTCAAAGTAAAAGAAATAATTCAATTTGCCCCTGAGCTTTTAAAAACTGAATATTATAAAATATATTTATCTTGACAATTAAGTAGTTAATAACTATATTTACAATTCAATCCATTGGAATTATAAACAAAATTTATATACAAGTAGCAATAGAAGGAATACAGTTTGCAAAATCAGTTTTATAACAATTATAGACACTAAAGAGTATTTTTAGTTTTCTATCACTTTTAGAACAAGTATTAACAGTCTTATATTTAAAATATTTATAACAAATCATCATTGATAAAAAGAATCCTAGAATGGAGGCCCACTGAAGTTGTAAGCTTCCTGTTCCAATATTTTCTAAACTCAAAAAGGTCTACTGGAGAAATATTTCCTGGCAATATACTTGCAATTTTTTCCCCACATTCTACTTATTCTATTCAATCACTGTGCTAGTATCAAGCTTGATATTAATTTTCCAGTTTACAATCTGTCATATCAGATACTACTAATTCAAAGTTTCCAGAAATTCCAATACTTTCCCAGGGAACAGGCAATTAATTTCATTATATTCTCAAATTCTTGATTGAACTAAAGTGTTATGAGAAAGGTTTTGAAAGAAAGAAGACGTTAAAATGTTTACTTACCCACAAGCATCTCAAAAAGGAAAACACCTACTGACCACCAATCACATTCTCGCCCATAGTAACCATCGCCTCCTTGTGATTTCAGAACCTCAGGTGATATATAATCAGGGGTTCCCACTGCTGTATCACAGTGCACCATGCCTGTCTGGGTAAACAGAAGACATAAAGAAAAACAGATCTGTGTAAAAACACACACATATAAGTGCAACTATGATTAGGCTACATATTGCTACCAATAGAACTTAACTGCTGACATGGCTTTGGGATACAGGGAATACATTATGAAATGCATAAAAATATCTGGATTATGGGAGATAACTCTAAAATACAGGAGGCTCCATCTATGAAAGAAAAGGTGGTAAACTCCACGGAGATTCCATGCAAATCAACAACTTTGTTTCTTTTTCTTGTTTCTTATATTAAAAACTAGCAATAAGAGAAGTACAAAATGTAGTCTTAAGGCACTGACCTGGGGAAAAGAAACGAATCATTAGAGAAAGAAAGCTTTCATATTCCCAAAATAAACTGAAGCAATTAAGATGACAAAGGGCCCCAGTTTAATATAAAGAAATGGTTCTTATATTATCAAGAAAAAAATGAAGAAATAAATCAAATGTTTAAATTAAAAGAACTGAAAAGTTTAAAATCTATACCTCCAAGATACATATTTAGAAATATGCAGCTGTGGCATCAATGTATTTGGCAAAATGATTTTAAAAAATGCTTATCTGTGTTTAGCTTCAGTAGGTAATAAGATAATCCCTGATGTCTTTTTGATGAGGATAATAACATCATGGTTGTGTGTATGATGTATACGTATGCATGCTACAAATAAATCACTATAGTAGGATAGTGCTACATAATACTCTTTGGCCTCCAGCTCTAACTTGCAATGATTTTACAGATTAATTTAAATGCCCTTTATTTCCTTTATCTGCCCAGTAATGCATGTGTTTACTCACACTCCTCATACAGAAGACATAAAAACTACCAAAATATTAAGTATTACAACCATCTTAGGAAAAGGAAGATCAATGTATTCTGTTAACATAATTTATGTGAATGTTTTTGTTTCTTTGTTTTTGTTTTTTGAGACAGAGTCTCACTCTGTTGCCCAGGCTAGAGTGCAGCCTAGCTCACAGCAACCTCAAACTCCTGGGCTCAAGCAATCCTTCTGCTTCTGCCTCAGCCTCCCACATAGCTGGGACTACAGGCATTCGCCACCATGCCCAGCTAATTTATATATATATATATGTACATATATATATATATATTTAGTTGGCCAATTAATTTCTTTCTATTTTTTTAGTAGAGACAGGGTCTCGCTCTTGCTTAGGCTGGTCTTGAACTCCTGACCTTGACTGATGTGCCTGCCTCCACCTCCCAGATTGCTAGGATTACAGACGTGAGCCATCGTGCCTGGCCTGTAAATGTTTTTATTTAGGTACTACAAAACTTGTTAAACATGGGATGTTAACTTCAAAAACAATCTTTTCAGGCCAGGCGCAGTGGCTCACGGCTGTAATCCTAGCACTCTGGGAGGCCAAGGCAGGAGGATTGCTTGAGCTCAGGAGTTCGAAACCAGCCTGAACAAGAGTGAGACCCTGTCTCTACTAAAAACAAAGAAATTAACTGGCCAACTAAAAATATATAGAAAAAATTAGCCAGGCATCGTGGCATATGCCTGTAGTCCCAGCTACTCGGAGGCTGAGGCAGGAGGATCGTTTGAGCCCAGGAGTTTGAGGTTGCTGTGAGCTAGGCTGACGCCACGGCACTCTAGCCCAGGCAACACAGTGAGACTCTGTCTCAAAAAAGGAAACCTCACTGATTTTATTTTCCCAAGTCTATAGCAAATACAGAAATCATTTTCAGGTCGGGAGCAGTGGCCCACCCCTGTAATCCTAGCACTCTGGGAGGCCGAGGCAGGCAGATTGCTTGAGGTCAGGAGTTCAAAACCAGCCTGAGCAAGAGTGAGACCCCAATCTCTACTATAAATAGAAAGAAATTAATTGGCCAACTAATACATATAGAAAAAATTAGCCGGGCATGGGTGGCGCATGCCTGTAGTCCCAGCTACTCGGGAGGCTGAGGCAGCAGGATTGCTTGAGCCCAGGAGTTTGAGGTTGCTGTTAGCTAGGCTGACGCCACGGCACTCACTCTAGCCTGGGAAACAAAGCAAGACTCTGTCTCAAAAAAAAAAAGTCATTTTCATTTAAATATAAATTAAAAAATAAATTTTATAGAAATAATTGAGCAAACTATGGGAGTCATACTTTGTGTGGATTAATACAAAAATGAATGATGAACAAGACAGTGCCTGACTTCAAAAAGCAGGGGATGCAATTAATTTTTATCATGGACTATCCTATAGTTTAGACTTACGTTGGGAAAAAAATTAATAGAGACTTATTGTGGTAAAGAAAATTTCTTCATTTGACACATATCCAGAGAAATTAGACTTCAAAAAAAATAAGTATTTGGGAGAGATATGGCTAATTGAATGCACAGTACGTTGATGGTTTGAGAAGTTCTGTTCTGCTGATTTTAAACTTGAAAGTGAGCCACATGGCTGACCTCAGACCAAGGTGGATACAGATGACCTAAAAGCTGTGGTGGAAGCGAATTCATCTCAACCTATGTATGAATTAGCAGCAAGGTTTGATGTTACTATTCCAACAACATTGGGCCATTTGAAACAAATCAGCAAGGTAAAGAAGCTGGATAGATGGGTTCTTCATGAATTAAATGAGCATCAGAAGAAAAATCATTTCAAAACTTGCCTTTCTTTGCTGTCATGATATAAAGGTGAACCATTTCTATACTATATTGTTACATAGGATGAAAAATGGATTCTTTTGACAATTGCAGGCATTCAGCACAGTGGTCAGATAACGGTGAAGTGCCAAAAGACAGTCCAAAACCAAATATTCATCAAGAAAACCCTAATGGGTGTCTGTTTGGTGGCCCAGTGCTGGTATTATCCACTACAGCTTCATTAAACCTGGTCAGTTGATTATAGCAGGTGTCTACTGCAACCAACTGGACGAAATGAGGATGCAAGTAAGCAGCCAAGATTAGTCAATAGAGACAGGCCAATCCTCTCACAAGACAATGCTCAACCACATGTCACACAAACAACACTGCTCAAACTACAGAGACTGAACTTGGAAACTCTCTGACATCCACCATATTCACCAGACCTTGCACCAACTGACTACCACTTCTTTCAGGCTTTGGACCACTTCTTGCAAGGAAACTTATTCAACTCTCAACAGGCTGTGGAAAACGCCTTTCGGGATTTCATTACCACTCACTCTCCAGGCTTCTTCACTACTGGCATAAACAAGGTACTGCTAAGATAGCAAAACTGTGTCAACAGGTTAGGTGCATAATTGACTAATTATATTGCTTCTTGTTTGAGATATATAATAAACTACACTTTTGATTCAAAATCAGATATTTCATATTTAAGGACCTAATAGAATATAAAAAGAAATGAATTTGTTTTATAAATGAATAACATAATTACACTGAATGGGGAGGAAGAAAAGAACTAACCTAAGTAACTTTGGAAAACAGTATCCTAATAGGATACTATAAGACAAACAACAAAAAGAAGTATACAAAAATAGTACATTTTACTTAGCAAATCTGTTTGTCACAGGGGTAGGAATTGGCAATTCTGGAATAATTTTATGTGTATACTAGGGCTGAACAAGTAAATATACTATAGATAATGACAGTCAGATTTTTCACTACTCATGAAAGAAATTACAAAAAAGAAGGAAGACTAGAATAAAATCTTTGGTGTTGGACTTGAATCAGAGGTATCAGTATGAACTTGTGATTTTTAATATACTATATACACAGATAAAAAAATTAAATGTAAATGTATATACATGTGGTTTAGTGCATATGTAGTATATACAATATAAATGTCCTAACTCTGTCTTCTGTCAGGGCCTAGAAGTAATGACACTCCAGGAGCAATGAGCACACCTAGCACCAAAACACTGATTTCTAAATACCATTCTGTAAAAACAACAATAATATTCAGAGCTTCTTGAAGAAGTAGCTGATTCCGGGGTTGAGATGGAGAAAATTCAAGTCTTTAACACCTTATAGTGTCGAAAATAAGAAAATGCTCCTAAAGGGGCGGGGGGCATGTTGAAAGGACACAGGAGCCAACCTAAGGAGCCTTCACAAAATCGCAAACACTGAACTGAGTTTCAAAATACAGGTAGGAATTTGCCATGGAGATTATTAAACAGCATGTATGTATGTAGGCCAGGAATCACAGAACACCACAGTATAAAAAGAACTACAGAAGACTCAAGACTTCTGAGCCATAAGGACTACTTCACAATAGAGAATGAGGATGAAAGGTAGGCAGAGGTCATTCATCATAAGAGTCTTACCAGGACAAGCTAAGGAGTCTGAACCTTACTCAGTAGGTGACAGAAACCTCCTGAAGGGTTTAAAACTGGATAGCAAGATAATCAGGTATGGCTTTTCAAAGATTTCTCAAATTTTTTACATGTATCAAATTAAAGGTATATTAGATAAGTATTAATATATCTGATGTTTTATCATTGACAAAATATCATAACTTGAGAGAATTTACTGAAAACACAAAATTTGTCAATCAGAAATCTTATGAGTTGGTTTAATAAACTACTGAAATGCTTCCTATAAAAAGAAAAGGAAAAGAAAATTTATAAGTGGAATTTTTCAAGTATCAGAAGCATTAAAAGCTCCAGTTTGCTGCATAGGTGGAAGCTTTTCAGTCCATTTTAAACACTGAAAATGATCGGCCGGGCACGGTGCCTCACGCCTGTAATCCAAGCACTCTTGGAGGCTGAGGCAAGAGGATTGCTCGAGGTCAGGAGTTAGAAATCAGCCTGAGCAAGAGCAAGACCCCGTCTCTACTATAAATAGAAAGATATTAATTGGCCAACTAATATATACATAAAAAATTAGCCAGGCATGATGGCACATGCCTGTAGTCCCAGCTACACGGGAAGCTGAGGCAGTAGGATTGCTTGAGCCCAGGAGTTTAAGGTTGCTGTGAGCTAGGCTGACACCAAGGCACTTACTCTAGCCTGGGCAACAAAGCGAGACTCTATCTCAAAAAAAAAAAAAAACCTGAAAATGATCCCTTGCTCATTCTCTTCACAGATGCATACCCCTTGCTTCACGAGGGTTCTTGGCTAACGGAGGCCTGCTTGTTCTTACATTTTACCCCAAAAACACCTAATTTACAATCCCATTTGCAATGTTGCAGTACTCACAGCTACACAAAGCTGCCTACCTGGATTATCCCAGTTATCCCTGCTAGCTACCAATTTTTATTTTCATAAGTTTCTGAAACAGGTATATTTTTAAAATTGATGTCACTTGTAAAAGGGTTGAGAACATTAAACTAAATTGTTTATAAAGTTAACTTTTTAAAAATCACAACCTTAATTTAAACAAGTGACATACACCAGAATGTTAATGGAGAAAATCGTATCCTATCTTCATGTAATTTAAAATACCAGAATATCATGTGCCTTAAAAGGTGGTAAAGGTTGCTATGAAATTAGCAACAGGTAAAGCATAAGCCCAACATATATGATCAATGTAGATAATTTTAAATAGCAGTAGTTCTCAGCTGTCACTGAGACACATCTAGATGTAAACATACTATAATGTAACTCTCACATACATCCAGAAAAGGTTCTTTTTCCAAGGCAGAGAGAATAACAGCAACACCACCCAGAAAATTGTGTCACCCAGGATTTATCAATAATAGAACTTAATGAGACACCATTACTTTTAACTGTGACCATAACAAATTATTTTAGTCCTTGTAAGTTGTAATTTTATAGTTGTATTTTATTTTTGTTCCTATACAAAGCATAACATTTTACAGGAATCCAGGACAGCTGAAAAACAATTCACGCATCTATGTCTACATTATAGATGAAGGGTTGGCTAATTTTTTTCTATAGGCCAGATTGCAAATATTTTGACTTTATGGGCCACGCAGGGTCTCTGTCACATATTTTTCTTCTTTTTATAAACAAACTTTTAGAAACATAATAATCATTTTTAGCACATAAGCTGTACAAACCAAGCCATAGACCAGATTTGGACCTTACATTCCGGTTTGCCAATTCCTTCTATAGGGAAATGAGAATGAAACTACAAACATTTCTAATGGTTTCAGTATAGCAACAATAATCAAACAAGGCAAACAAAGCAATAAACCTGAAACTTATAATTAACACTATTCATATGAATAACTAATATAAAATTATCAATTCTATATATTATAGTTTTTAAGAAAAAACTTTTGTTCTTTAAATTATATAATCATCCTCATTATTAGTATTGTCTGAAGAATGGGGGTTTGAGGTAAAACAATCAGCATTTTTAAAGTTCAGTATTTTAAAAAATCTGACTATATCAAAACGAAAGATTTTTATTTAAACAAAGGCATAGTGGGGTAGCAGACTGGAAGATGTTAATGGCAATATCTGTGGAATCACTATCTAGGTTATACAAGAAAGCTCTGTACATCTGTACATCAACAAGAAGCCCTTTTTTTCCCCCCTGAGACAGAGAGTCTCGCTTTGTTGCCCAGGCTAGAGTGAGTGCCATGGCGTCAGCCTAGCCCACAGCAACCTCAAACTCCCAGGCTCAAGCAATCCTCCTGCCTCAGCCTCCCGAGTAGCTGAGACTACAGGCATGTGCCACCCATGCCCGGCTAATTTTTTCTATATGTATTAGTTGGCCAATTAATTTCTTTCTATTTATAGTAGAGACAGGGTCTCGCTCTTGCTCAGGCTGGTTTTGAACTCCATGACCTTGAGCAATCCGCCCGCCTCGGCCTCCCAAAGTGCTAGGATTACAGGCATGAGACACCATGCCCAGCCTATTCTTGACATTTTATTTGAACTTTTACATGGATGTTCATAAATTCTCTTTGTGAGCCACTGAGTCTGGGCCAAGAAGCCCATTTTTTAAAAGATACACAAAGCCAAAAGATAAAAGATATACACAAGTAATTCACAAAAGAGAAATGACTGACAAGTATATGACAAGAGGTTTGTTATCACTAGTTATAAGATAAACACAATTTTGAAAAAATACTACTGTAAACCAATGGAAGTGGTAACATTTAGAGAGCTGAATAATAAGAAGGGTTAGTGAGAATATGAGAAGACAATGTCTCTCATGCACTACTAGTAAGGTTATAAACATTTACAGCCATTCTGGAAATCAGGCAATTCTTTATTTATGTACCCTCTGATACAGTAGTTTCACTTCTAAATTTATACTTAGAGAAAGCCTTGTCAGGGTACACATGGGACATATAAGAAGATGTTAGAGACAATATTGTTGGTAGCAGGGAGCTAGAGGTGACCAGAAATCCAACACGAGGGGAATAATAAATTGACAGATAGATACTAATGGCATACTATGCACCAGAAACAAAGCAATGAACTAATTTCTATTATCAGGGATATATATAAAAACAAAGTAAACAAAATGGCATCTGTACCAATATATTGTTTATACAAATGAAGAATATATATGTATATTATACTAATACTCTGCAAAAGCATATGGCAAACACATTATATTAGTTATCTATTAAAGAGAGGAAAGAGAATGAGACAGAAACTGAAAAGAGGAAAATATAACTATTTGCACCTTAATTAAAACAGTAAATAAAATTAGATAAGCCATTTTTTGCCTTATAGAGATAATTTAAGATATTTTTAACAGCTGATTTTAGTAGTTATTACATGCTCATAAAATTATTTTACAAATGCCATATTATATCCTGTTGCCCATATTGTCATACTTTATATCTTTTTTTTCATAACCACCTTTACACTCCCTAAAAACATACTATGTGATTTATTTCTCTGTACTCCATCCCACCCCCAAAAGTTTTTGGTTTAATTAAATTAGAATAATTCATAGGAGTACAGTGCATAAACATTATATATTATGTACAATAAACATAAAAATGTCTAGCATTCTACTTGAAAATTATTTCATTTTCATTAAAGAAAACTTTCACTGTTAATCATTTCATACTATATTATGCTAAATACCACAAGAGGGAGCTTTGGGTACAATCAAATACTCCACATATTAAATACTGAGGAATGGTTGCAGAAGATAGTAACTGTCTCTATCAAGACAAAAAGGAAAGGGATATTAAGTTTTAGATGGGTAGATAAAAATGGCCTATAAAGTACAGCACAGATTCTGAATAAGCAAAGGCATTATGACATTAGAAAAGTGATTAGTCAGTTTAGGATTACCACCTGAGCTTGGATGAACACAGAATGCTGATGAAAGTAGGATGATTAATAAAAGTAAAAGTCACATAGGTGGCATGAATAAGTTGAGGTAAAGAGAAAAGAAAATTATCTTTATTTATAATAAAGGTCTTGACTAGATAACTAACAAGAAATACATTAGCTATATAAGCATACTGGAAGGTTATGAAAAGCACATAAAAAATGAAATATAGTTTACTTTCAATATATATTAACATTTACAAGTGATCTTCTAGATCCAATATGTTCCCTTCCAATAAGGAATTACTGTTAGGACTTATAGTGCATTTATAGAGAAAAGGGCAAGACATATAAATTTTTTAACCAAAATAAATCAATATCATAATTAGCTATGAAGCTAATGTCACTGAACCTATTAATTATAAATTGTTCAACAGGTAAAGTATCACAAAAGATGTCCCCAAATTTATCCTATATGGTTGATTATAGACAGGGGTGGGGTAGACGGTAGTAATATAAATTTTTTTCCTTACCTTACTTCCTTTTTAAAAAGAAAACTGCAGAAATATCAATGGTGGTGGAAGAACTCATGTAGCATAATTTAGATTTTTGTGTCCTTCTTTACCTATATTATTATACACATGCACCAGTTCTGACTGGTAGCAAATGCTTATCAATAGTCCACGAGGAAGGTAACAAAGACAGCTGAGTTTTCATTTTTCTTGGGTCCACCAAATCTGCCTAATTAAGTACTCTATAGCTAGATGAATGAAATGTTTTAATTTGGCATTATCTTGTTTGAGTTATTACACAGTTAGAAAAACTAAATTTATCTTTGTTCAAAACCATGAAGTCCTGATTTTAGGTATTTCATTTACTTTTGTTTCTCAAAAAACTAGCATTTTAAAAATTTGCTTACTTACTTCATCCATCTTCATACATGTGCCAAAATCTGCTAATTTTAGATGTCCATGTTTATCCAAGAGCATGTTATCAGGCTTCACATCTCTGTGTATTAAACCCATGGAGTGTATTGCATCCAGAGCAAGAACAACTTCAGCAGTATAAAATTTGGCCCATTTTTCAGGCACATCATAATTACTCATAAGGTTTACAAGGTCTCCACCAGGCATATACTCCATTACCATGTACAGATACCTATCATCTTGAAAGGCATAAAAGAGCTGGAAAACAAAAGGAAAAGGGAAAAAATTTAAACAAAAAACAAAAACAAAATCATAAATAGAATAAAAACTAAAACCTACCATTACTATTGAAAAAGATAAACTATTTAGTAACCAAAACTAAGTTAAATTTATGAAATTTTCTATTTTAGACTTGGATATGTATAACAGAAAAACAGTATGAGACAAATTTTTATATTGATACCTTATTGAAGCATAGATGAATATGTCCCCTCTTAGGGAACACAACACAGTAAACCATTTAAATAGAAACATTTAAAACAAAGAAACAGAAAAGGAACGAGTAGCATAGAAGGTGATAACAAAAGCATTCATCATAGTTTAAAAAAAACCAAACAAACTACTGCACATAACTCATAAAAGAGAGCTGAGTGATTAGAGCAATTTAGAAAAATCTAAGAGATATCAGATTCAAGGGATCTAGAAGAGGGAATAAGCCCCCGACCAGTGGAAAGAATGAGTAAGTGGCAGCCATATTTGGAACAGGACTAACTCCTCTCTGCCTCCCCATCACCTTAATTTTGGTAAGCACCAAGAGGCATTGTTACCTGTACCCACACTACAGCAGGGGCATGGGACCAGAGAAATAGGATACCAACCCAGGCTGCTACTGCCCCCAGGTGAAACAGAGAAACCAAAGTCAGAAGAAAATGTATCTGTATATCTCACCAAACAACATGCCCCCCCCTCTTGGAAGCAAGCAATGGAAACAGAAAAGGCTTCCACAGACAAACAGGGAAAAGATAGAACAAAACCAACAACCAACATTTGAGAAAAACCAACATCATGAAATAGAGGAAAAGTAATTCAAGAAATAAAATTAACACTCAAGGAAATGTTTAATAGAACAGCTTTAAATATGTAAAATCAATACCTTCAAAAGTGTTATAGTATCATTCAAACAGGAGGCTGACATGAGTAAGAGATGAAATATAAAGCAAGGTTAGAAAAGCTCCCATACCTATCTACAGCAGTTCTACAAAGAAAGAACAAACTGGTAGAAAAAGAAAAAATAAACAAAAATTTCTGGAAATGAATAAAGTTAAAAATCTAAGATTGAAAAGACCTCTAAATGAAACAGAGGAAAATTTTAGACAGCCAGTGCTAAATTTTCAAAAATCCAAGAGAAAAATCCTAAGTTTCCAAAAACATGTCTCATATGCAAAAACATAGATAAATTATATTGACAACAAAACTTTCAGCCAATATGCTGAATATCAAAGACAACATAACTGTATCTTCAAAGTTTGGGGGAAAAAAATTTTGATTCTAGAATATGAGGGACTAGAAAGCAAATGAGATGGCAAAAATTGTTCAGGGATATCGTTTGACAAAATAAATCCAAGTAAGAGGATTATGTGAGACATAAGAAAGAGGGAAAAATAAAGAATATAGAAAAACTTATTAAATATAATTACTGATACAAAATTACTTTTTTGATAGTCAAGACAAAAGTCACAATAATTTTAAAATGGAAAGTAGTGTATGCAGGGAAGGAAGAGATGAAAAGGCATTATAAGGCTGGTTACCAAATTGAGAAAAAGTATGTGTATGTGTGAGAAAAAGTATGTGTGTCTATCAGTGTGTATGTATTTAACTCTAAATGATTAAAGAAAAGAGATAAATAAACAGAAAGACACCCATGTTCATAGACTGAAAGAGTCAATATTATCAAAATGGCAATTTTTCCCAAATTGATCAATACTGTCAAAGCAATCTCTATCTAAATCCCAGTAGATCTTTTCCAGAAATCAACAAGCTGATCCTAAAATTTATTTGGAAATGCAAAGAACCCAGATGAGTCAAAACAATACTGAACAAGAACAAAGTAGGAAGACTTATATTTCCCAATTTTAAAACTCATTATAAAACCACAGTAATCAAGACAGTATTAGTACTAGCATAAAAATAGACATATAGATCAATGGAACTCTTGTATCTATGACCAATAAAAATTTTCTGACAAAGGTGCCAGCATAGTTTAGTAGGGGAAAAGATATTGTTTTCTAAAAAATGGTGCTTGAAAAATTCAGTATTTACAGGCAAAAAGATGAATTTTTTAGATCTCTACTTCACACCACAGTCAAAAATAAATTCAAAATGGATCCTAGGCCTAAATTTAAGAGTTAAAATTACAAAAACCTTAGACAAAAACGAAGGAGAAAATCTTCAAGACCTTGGATTAGGTAAAGATTTATTAGATGTAACATCAAAAACACAGCTGACAAAATGAAAAACTGATAATACAGTTTTTCATCAAAATAAAAATTTTCTGGCTTCAAAAATTACCATTAATAAAATAAAAAGATATGCCACAGGTTGGAAGGAAATATTTAGAAATGATATATATATGACAAAGGGCTTATATCTAGAATATATGAACTCTTCTAATTCAATAATAAGACAAAAAAATCAATTTAAATAAAGGCAAAAGATGTGAATAGATATTTTACCAAAGAAGATACAGGAATGGCCAGTAAGTACATGAAAAGATGTTCTACTACCATTAGTCCTTAGAGAAATGCAAATTAAAACCACAATGAGATACCACTTCACACCCATCAGAATGGCTATACTAAAAGACACAGAGAATGCAAAATGACACAGCCACTTTGGAAAACAGTTCAGTAATTTCTTCAAAAGTTAAACATAAATTTACCATGCAATCAAGGATTCCACTCCTATGTACCTACCTAAAAGAAATGGAATATATTTACCAAAGACTTGTGGGTAAAAGTTCATAGTAGCATAACAGCGAAAAAGTAGAAACAATTCAAATGTCCATTAACTGGTAAACAGATAAACAAAATGAGGTATATCTATATACTCTGTTTCCACCCCATCTGGGTGTGCTGCAGTACAATTCTGACACTAACCATAAGAGCTGGCATCGGACCCTGTAAGTAGAAACCTCAGTCTTCCACAAGACTGCCCTCATTTCAGACAGCAGCTGCACGGTTGGGATCCCCAGGCCACATACATTTCTGACTTACTGGCTATAAGTTCAGGGGTTCCCACAACCTCCTCAGGCTCAACAATTCACTAGGATGAGTCACACAATCAGGAAAGCACTATATTTATGATTACAGTTTTATTATAAAGAATACACAAAGGTTGAAGTCTGGAAGAGACTGTAGAGATTCTGCGCCCTCTTTCCATTTAATCAGGGTGCGTTACCCTCCTGGCACTAGCACATCAATATGTTAATGTGTTCACCAACCAGGAAGCTCCACTGAGTGTCAATGTCCAAAGTTTTTACTGGGGCTTCATGACAGAGGCATGATTAATTAAATTATTGACCAAGTGACTAAACTCAATCTCCAGGCCCCCATCCCTCTTCTCCCAGGAGGTCTGGCAGCTGAAAGGCCACTCCTCTAATAATGTACTCTTTCTAGTGATCCCCTAGCTATCTGGAGACCACTAGAGTCATCTTATTAGCATAACAAAGACACTCTTATCATTCAGGAAATTCCAGAAGTGTCAATGCTTTGTGCCAGAAAAAGAGGACCAGATAGATATATTCTTTTTTTTTTTTTTTTGGAAAGGGGCTCCCTTTTTTTCCCCGGCTAGAGTGAGTGCCGTGGGGGCAGTCTAGCTCACAGCAACCTCAAACTCCTGGGCTCAAGCGATCCTTCTGCCGCAGCCTCCCAAGTAGCTGGGACTACAGGCATGCGCTACCATGCCTGGCTAATTTTTTCCTATATATATTAGTTGGCCAATTAATTTCTTTCTATTTTTAGTAGAGACGGGGTCTCACTCTTGCTCAGGCTGGTCTTGAACTCCTGACCTCAAGCTATCCACCCACCTCAGCCCCCCAGAGAGCTAAGATTACAGGTGTGAGCCACCACGCCCGGCCAGACAGATATATTCTTTATTATACCACAGCACACAATAGAAAACTATTGAACACTAAAAAGGAAAGAAGGATGATAGATGTTACAATGTGAATAAACTTCAAGAACACTATGCTAAGGAACAGGTACCAGATGTAAAATACAACATACAGTATGATTCCATTCATATGAAATGTTTAGAAAAAGCAAATCTATAGAGACAGAAAGAGCATTAGTGGTTGCCTAGGGCTAGGGTAATAGGAAATGATGATAAATGGGTATGAACGACCATTTTGGATTGTGGAAATGTTCTAACAGAAAACTGTAGTGATGACTGCATAACTGTAAATTTCCTTAAAAATCACTGGATTGTACACTTAAAACAGGTGAATTTTAAGGTATGCAAATTATACCTCGAAAAAGTTTATTATAAATTTAGAAAAAGATTGTATACCTCAATAAAGTTGTATAAATTTAAGTTACTATATACCTCAATAAAATTAATTTAAAAATCTAAATGTGCATGTTAAAATGATAAAAAGGCAATTCTAAATCCATGCAAATACAGCTTAAAAATAAGCCTTCTAAGAACCAAATGGATCCACAAGTTAACAATGCAAAAGTCCTCTCTCACAGCAAAATTTTTTAAAATATGCCAATATTTATCTAGTGAATTTAAAATCATACCAAAAAATATTTCTAAGAAAACATTTATATTATAGCATAATTTATATAAGAAAAATGAAAAGAGCTATTTCCAAAAAGAGTATAGTAACAATAAATTATGGGAACATTCATATGATTCAATATGGAATAGTCATTAAAAAATAAGAGCTGAGATTTGGAAAACCAAAATAATCCACTGAAATTGATTATAGGCACACCCTATGACTCACTAATTTCACTGCAAGGTAAATCCCTAAAATAAATGTATGAACATATGCACCAAAATCCATATGAAAGAATATTCATAGCAGCATTATTCATAATAGCCAAAAAGGAGACCCAAAAATGTCCATTAAATAATGAATGAACAAAATGTGGTATTTCCATATACAACAGAGTATTTATTCAATTATAATAAGATATGAAGTACTGATACATATTATAATATGAATGAATGCTGAAAACACTAGGCTAGGCGAAAGATGTCACAAAAGACATACATACATATTATATGATCCTATTTGTATGAAATGTTCAGAACAGGAAATCCATAGAGATAGAAAGTAGATTAGTAGTTGATAGGGGCTGGCGTCAGGGAATATTAAGGAATAATTGTTAATTGGCTCAGGGTTTCTTTTGGGGGTGATAAAAATGTTCTAAAGTTAGGTAGTGGTGATGGTTGTACAACTCTGTGAATATATTTTAAATCACTGAATAATAAAATAAAATAATAAAAATAAGTCACTTTGGTAAGTTTTCCCCAAAAGTTTAATACTTTGTGCATATAAATATAATGGTGCATGGCATGTCTTTTACCAAGATAGATAAACATATGACAGCCATGATGATAATCTGAGTTAGTTTTTCAACTGTACTATGTTTTACTGCTGATTTGCTTCCTCGGATCCACCATCTCTCGATTGTCTCAATAATCAACAGGTCCTCTCTATCTCAATTAACACTCGATAAAGGTCCACTTAGCAGAATTAAAGATCAAAAGATACCAATTTATAAAATGATTAACTAGAAATGGCAAGGAATCTGCTACTATGAAAGCAATTTAAAGCTAAAAGTAGAATACATACTTTCATTAACATCATTCTTTAATCAAGTAAATTATCATGGTACATAATTTTCCACAAAAATTTTAGTTTTAGCTGCACGTAACAGGATTTCTATTCCCTGCCTACAGTAAAAAAATAAGAGGGGAGGACTGAGGCTCAACTCTATTAAAAAAAAAAAAAAACAGCAATGAGCTTTTAAATGACATGGTCATTGATGTAACAAATTTTTTTGCCTCCAAATTGCCTTCTTACAAGCAAGGTTATCAAATTCCTGGATCATTTAAGCATTCTGAACAAGCACTGGTATAGATCTAATCTTATTCATGCATGACACTTGTTCAAAAATGTTTGCAGATTTAGATATAAAATATAAAAGTATAAAAAAACTTTTAGAGAAGTAAAGCTGGTGAAGAGTATAATAGAAAAGGCAAAACAGAGCCATAAATTCCTTAACCCACAGTCAAATAAGAGTCGTGGAATTAGAAGCCCTAATACTGTCTTACATTATAGGTAATATATAAAGCACTGTAGGAGAATTTTCAAAATATTTATTATATAAAGTTTTTTCCCCCCAAGATAGGCTGATTAATGTAACATAAACTTCTAACTAATATTAGTATGCATATAACCTTAAATGGTTCAATGAATTTACTATGTTCCTACCATGTAAGTCACAACAAGGGGTTGAAAGGGAATAATGGCATACTGGTGATCAAGCCAATTCTTTATAAAAGAATTAAAGAAGAAAAAGTTGCAAGTAATGCAACTTGCTTCCAAACACCAATTTAAGTAATCATTACATGTTATATCTATGTGGACATACTGTTTAGGAACATTAAACAAGTGCACTGAATCAGATCCTATTAAAAATAACTGCACTGTTACCGTGTGAATAAAGCATACGAATTTTAGCACACAAAATCAACTCTTACGAATAATAAGCATATATCAAAAAAGGAAATAAACTTATAAAAGTTAGTATGCTTACCTGAACCACCCAGGGACTGTTGGCAAAGGCCATAATATCTCTTTCTTCCCAGAAAAAAGCAGAATCTGATCTTTTTATCATTTCAAACTTACTAAGAAGTTTCATAGCATAAACTTTCTGTGATGCCTTATGACGAACCTGTCGATTTTTTAAAACACAAAAATGATTAATACTTTAGTTTTATGAGAAAGGTGAACAGATCATACTGTAATACTATAATTAAATACTTCAACTGCAAAACAAAATGATCCTTAGCTAACTAATAAAAAGTAAAAGCAAAACATTTTTAATGAAAGAAATGGGTAAAAATTTTTAAGGGAAAAACTACCAACAATATGGTTATTTGATCATTTCCTATCTTCCCCATTAGACTGTAAATTCCATAAGGGCAAGAAGGATATCTATTTTTGACCATCCTTTTACTTCCAAGAACATAGCAAACTGTCTACCAGAGAGATAATAGTGATAACAGTGAACATTTATTGGATAATAGTTCATAATAACTGCCAATATTTACACTTGAGTGTCTAATAGGACATCTAATACTGAAACTCCTAATCTTTACTCCTGAATGGATTCTTCCCAGTCTTACCCATTTTAGTAAATGGCAGCTTCATCCTTCTAGTTGCTCTGGCTAAAAATCCTTTAGCACCTCTTTTTCTCTCAAACAACTTATCAAATTTATCAGCAAATCATGTCAGTTCTACTTTTCAAGTAATTTCAGAATCCCATGATTTCCAACTACATCCACTCATATCATCCTGATACAATATCTTTTATTTCAATTACCAGCAATAGCCTCAACCAGCTTCCCTGACATTTTCACCTATCCACAGTCTAGTAATCCTTCTAAAACAAACCATTTTCTGTCACTCGTCTGCTTAAACTCCCCTAGAGGCGTCCAATATCATCTCTGCATGTGCTGTTCCCTCTACCTGGAATCGCCTCCTCTAACTGGGCTCAATCCCTCACTTCCTTAAACCCTTGCTCAAATATTGCCTTCTTAGTGAGGCCTACTCTAAGCAAACTAAACTTTGAACTCATTGTTCCCCTCTGCTGCCAGCATACTACCCATCCCACTCTCTCTTCCATGCTTTTGCTCCACTGCACTTTTATCACCTATCTCTTAGCACTAGCATTTAAACCTAATAAGGCAAGAAATTTTATGTCTTGTTCACTGCTTAATCCCCAGTGTCTAGCATAATGCCTGATATATAATAACCTTTCAATAAATCTTTGGTGAAAGAATGAACTTACTGAGTACTTAGTATGTGTCAGGCACTATGTGTTTTGATCCATGTATTATTTATTATACTTAATCTTCCTAACAGTCCCAATGAGGTTTATTTCTTCCATGTTACAAATGGGAAATTTGAGGTACAAAGAAGTTAAACTGCCTGAGAGCTATACAGATAGTAAGTAAAATCATGATTTAAAAGTAATTTGTGTCCAGAATCTGTACTATCTCTACACATGTATGCCTTCAATTAGGATGATTTCCCCAAACAGGGCCAGATTACATCTTGTCAACTTAGTATTCTACCCAGTTTGTGCTTCTTTTCACTCAAGTATGCCAGCTTTGGTATAACAGATTATATGGTCACTCTAGTCAGGGTTGGAGGAAAGAAAAGAGGCAGTTAAGCTCCAGACAAGAGTCTACAGGGTCATAAATGATCTAGCCTAATCCCACCTTCTCAATTTAAATCTCATCACTTGTTCCCCTTTTATTCATATTTCAGGCACACTGATCTCTTTTAGTTCTCCTAATACAACAAAACTTAACGTCAGAATCTTTACAGGTACTGGGAAGGTATTAGAAAACTCATCACAGTCCCTGACCCCACCTCTAACTAACTCAAGGACACTGGCTCATTATCCACTCAGTTGAAGTATAAAATTCCTCAAAGAGGCTTTCTCTGACCACAGTATCCAAAGTAGGAACTCATTGTTCTCTGCCTCAGAACCCCACCTGTTTTCTTCCTAGTAGATACCATAATTTGTAATTTTTCGATGTTGTTTCTTTGTATTTATTGTTTCCCATATTAGAATGTAAACTAACGAGGGTGGGGATTATTCATGCCTATTTTGTTCTCTCATCATATCCCAGGTACAAGTATAATGCCAGAATTGGCAATAAGAGACACTCACTAAATATTTGACAAGTAAATTGATTTGCAAATTATTTTTTACTTGATAACTGGCCAGACTATGCATTTTTATAAAAGATTCAACAAGTTTCTAGTTATCTTTTGTCAAATACTATCCATTTCTAGAATCAATACTTTCATTAATGAAAATAAAAACCAAAGATATGTTTGTGTCTTCCCCAGACATAACAGGGAAGAACCATCATATCTTACAGATCAGATACTATAATATATAAAAAGCAATACAATTTTAGAAAATCATAAAATGTAACTCTTTAATAAAGTTTTTTTCCGCCAACAAAATCCAGGTAAGAAGACTTATTTGTTGACTGTGTTTCAACAAATCACTAATAGAAAACACAGAAAAGTCCTGGGATGACACAATAAATACAAACATTTATCACTCAGAATCATGCACTTCTGGCTATGACAGAATAACTGGTACCAGCTAATCTTCCCATTGTAGACAACGACTGAAATGGCAAAATATATGAAGCAACTGTTTTCAGGTTTTGTAAAATAAGCAGCATAAGACTATAATCCCTGAGAGAAGAGAAACTTACCATGTCAGCCCCATAATTGCCCCCAAACTATGATTAAAGTCACTATCCTAATCAGTGCACAGCAAGTGATTGCCTAAGCAAAGCACAGTGGTCCTGCTGAGTTGAAGAGGCAGAAATCAGAGTTCAAGACAAATAAGGCAGCTAAATTATTATGCTGGGCAGGAAACTGGAAAGTAAGGTGCTGTACAGAGGGAGGTTCCTAGAAGTCACATGTAAGTACTTGGCTAAAGGCTGGTCTATCTAGAGAGAGTAGTCCAAGTTGACTACAGAGTAACTGCTATAGGGCTGATAGCAGAATAGAAACATACAGGTTAAACAGCATTGGAAGGAATGCTTATTAATGTCTTGGGCATCCAGCTGACCCATGTTATAAGAAAGAACCATGCTCTAAGTAAGACCTACTCTAGCACTACCTAACAAAGCTTAATACCAAACCCTAAAGATCCAAGATGGAACAGAATTTAAAGGTTGAATCCTACCAAGTTAAATGAACTTGGGAAACAGCTTGATCTTGCCACACATCTACAAAGTATAAAATTAAGCCTGCATGAGTTAAGGATGATCAATCAGCAAGTAACTGGACAGCCTATTAGAATGGAAATCAACACTCAAAGAAAAATAACATGCCTGTAATCCTAGCACTCTGGGAGGCCGAGGTGGGTGGATTATTGGAGGTCAGAAGTTCAAAAAATAACAAAATCCAGACTCTTTACCAACCAAAAAGTATAATATATAATTTTTGAAAATTACTAGAGAGGCAAAAAGGAAAATGTGACTCAACATCAAGGAAAAAAGTCTATAGAAAATGGTTCCAAAAGATGTTAGATTTAGCTGACACTTTAAAATGTTCTTGTATTAAAATAAATAAGCTCAAACAAAAGAAAATATGTTAAAGAAATAAAAGAAAATATAGTCTTAATAAGTAAACAAGTAAATATCAACAGAAAAATGGAAACTATAAAAAACCAAATGGAAATTCTATAATTGAGAAATATAATAACTGAAGTGAAAAATTCACCATTAGGGTACACATAACAGACAATGGAGATAGAAAGGAAGTCAGTAAGCCTGAACACAGATCAATCGAACAATAAAGACAAAAATGAATAAGTGAAAATGAACAGAGACTCAGGGGCCTCCAAGACAATTTTAAACAGTCTAAAATATGTATAGAAATAAATGGAGTAAACATTACAATTAATAAACAGAAATTATCAAAATTGATTAAAAAGCAAGACCTAAACTTATAGTTTAAATATAAGATCAAATGAGCTGGAAATAAATGGATGAAAAAGATATACTATGCAAACAGCAAAGATATGAAAGTTGGCATAGCAATATAAAGCAGACTTCAAGACCAGGAGTATTATAAGAAATAAAGAGGATAATTCATAAACAAGCAGTAAGTCATCAAGGAGGCATAAATATGTATGTATCTTTAATTAATAAGCTTGAAAATTTATATAGCAAAAACAGAACTAAAAAGAAACAGGCAAATCCACAATTTCAGTTGGCAATTTTAACACCCCCATCTCAGTACTTGATAGAACAAGTACATAAAACATTAGTATGGATACAAAGAAAATACAGTCCAGAATGAAAACTGCTTAACCAAATTATAATTACAAAGATTATTATATTAATAGGTTATATCATTTCTCATTTTAAGATATTTTGAAATCTGAGGTATTTTGATACACTGTAACTTTATATGAAAAGAATCCTAAATGCAAAGTACCAAGTAAGTGATAAGAATCATACGTTATATCCATCTTCTTTATTATAATAAATTACAAAGTTGGAATAACAATTACTTTGATTATATAGTATAGTATTATTAAAATAACAATTACTGCGCTTATATAGAACAGGGTTATAAAACTTAACAGAATGCTGAAAATAACACAGGAAAGAATGTGAAAACATAGGTGGTGTGAGGAATTAAGAGATGAAGCTAGTCTTTTTTTTTTTTTTTGAGACAGAGTCTCACTCTGTTGCCTGGGCTAGAGTGCCGTGGCATCAGCCTAGCTCCCAGCAACCTCAAACTCCCAGGCTCAAGTGATCCTCCTGTCTCAGTCTCCCAAGTAGCTGGGACTACAGGCATGCACCACCATGCCTGCGTATTTTTTCTATATATTTTTAGCTGTCCAGCTAATTTCTTTTCTTTTCCTTTTTTTTTTTTTCAGTAGAGACAGTCTGGTCTCAAGCTCCTGAGCTCAAAGGATCCACCCACCACAGCCTCCCAGAGTGCTAGGATTACAGGCGTGGGGACCTGGCCTGAAGCTAGTCTTAAAACTAGAAATATCTTCCAAAGCAGACAGACTTTTAATTGATTTGTGTTGAATTAGCATATTACATCAAAGAAAATGATCATTCCAGCATTGTTGTTAAATAGAGTTTAAAATATGTTAACAATGTTGTTAAAAAG